TTCCTCCTAGTCCGCTTAAAATTACTGACAAATCTCTATTGACTGACTCCCATTCTTTCTTGCTATTTGCCCTCGGCCATTTAACTCTAGTTTTCTTTTTACTAATTTGTCTATTTTGCAAAATATACATTTTCCTAATTCAGATTTTAGTTTCTTTTTTTCAATTTATTGTGTACATTTACACATTTCCTGTGTGTCTTCTAGGCCTCCACAGTGGTGTCCAATTGTAAACATAAAGCAGATGTTGTTTAACTGACAACAAATGATACTTCTTTAAACTTCTGGTGTATTTTTGGTACTTTTATCCTACAGCTATTGTCACTTTTCAACGAACGCCTAAAGGTTGTTCATGCTTTACGATGTGATTAGTCAGTCTGGTTTTCTGACCTGTTATGTATTTTCTAGTCCATTAAGATCCACAGATGGAGCCCTGCTAATCCCAGGCCCCAGCCTCTGACAATAAATGACTGGGCTTTTGATATCAAAGCCATATGGTTTTATTGCTATTATTTGCTCCTTGTCATTTAATTGTTTTAACTTCCTCTGTGCTCTTTTTGCCTTGTCTGGTTTAATTTCTTTTTGTGTTTATCATTATTATTTATTATTGTTATTATTATTACTGCCCCTATACATAAATCCATCAACACAGTAAAGCACAGTAAGGACTGTTCATAATGACGACTATATTATATATATTATATGTATATTAAAATGCACATTTGCAGAAAATACTTTTCTTTTATTTAAGAAATCTTCCATTTGTGACAGAGTATTTTAACACTGTGTTATTTCTATTTCCACTGAACCAAAGGATGTGAAGACTGCTGAGGATGGGGCGCCTTGTGGCTCACCTGGTAGAGCGCATACCGTTAACACTCAGACCTTACCTCAGCAGCCTGGGTCCAGGTCCAACCCGCAGCCCTTTGCTGCGTCTCCCCCCCCCCCCACCCCAACCTTCCTGTCTCTCTCTCACTGCTGCTCTTAAAAAAAAAGACTGCTGCTGACAGATTATAACGATCGGCTCACACGACTTTACCTCATGAGTGTATGAGTCGTCTATGAGTCCACGCGTGTTGGACATCGGTCTTTTGACTTGACTTGCTGTCTCCCACACACACACGCACTTAGTCACTCAGATATGTATAAAAATACATTTCCAAGAGGGGTTTCACCTAAAATGACTGTTGTGATGAGGGCTACATGGACACACCACTATAAATGTAGTGTGAGTTTATCTCAGTCAGTCATCACTTCTGCAGCCGGTGAATCATTCAAAGAGCGGTATCATAATTATCATGTCATCATTATATTTCCCCTCTGGCAGACTTTTCCATTGTAGAAGAAAATCAGACACTATTTATGAACCATTGAAGATAAAAATAACAATGTGGTAAGATGCTAACACAGAATGAATTACACCTTTGCCAGTTAAGTAGTGAAACTAGTCAAGTGTGACAGAACAGGAGAGTGACATCAGCAGTGCTTCAGCTGTTATAAAACAAAGTGTCACAAAAGATAATCATAGAAATAATCTGCGTATTGTACGATCCCTGCGTGTAAACATATTAGACTGTAGGCCTATATCCAGAATTTCTACACTTGAAAATACGGCATGTCTCCTCTCACTTTACCTTATCCAAAAACAAGTCAAACCCCAATCTACACTAATAAATCCCTCTGGTGATTTGTGACCAACACACACGTTAAGGGCAGATCATTCTCTCACAAACTGATCAGGTAAATGGAGATATACCTGGATTTTATTGACTCAATTTTAGAAATTTTGACCCAGAAAGGGAAAGATGACTGACCATGAATTCACAAAGGTAAAGTGTTAACAAGCGTCCATGTGTTCAACTGAAGCTAACACTAACTTTCATGTCAAAACACAAACATCAGAATATTGAAACAGTTTTCAATTAGGCTGTGTTTTTATTTCGATCGATAGTCTCCTCAAATGACCCAGAGAACCGGACTTTTGTTGTCATGGTTACTATCACTAACCCTAACCTTATGGAATGGTCATTGTTAGGTCAAGGAGAGGGTTTGGCAAGTAAGTTTGGCATTGGGCCAGTTTTTACTTAATCCATTAGATGGTGACCAGAAATTAATCAAAGGACAATTTAAAAACTTGATTGATAAAAATGAAACTGGAATATTGTGCATTATACTGATTTACTGAACTGGTCTTATATTTTTTTACATCACACATTGTATGTCCGCTATTTCAGATGTCTGTCAAGCAAGCAACAGGCCCTTTAAAACTTCATGATAGAACTTTTCAGAATAAAAGCTCACAGTTATCACACTTTTATTTCTAGGAAAAATCACTAAAGAGGAAGTGATTCTGTCGGTAACCCTTGCTGTCATGATGTAGATCTATTTTAGCACTAGGTGCTGTGCGGGCTACAGTGCAGCCTACGGTGCAATCCGTGACTGCTTGTGTCTTTCATTCACTCTCAAAATGGATAATAAGCATTGTTCAGGCGAGGGTAGATTATGTGGGAAATAATGTGGAACTCTAAATCCAATATTGTAAAATAAAAAAGAAAATTACATCATCAAAAAAATCTGGCAGGCCAGATGTTGCTGACAAGCCAGATTTGGCCACCAGTTGCTGACCTCCAGTCTAGAAAAACGTTGTGGTTTGGGTTAGAGGATATGAAACCAAGAAAAAATGACTCTTGTTTTCAAATGAGAACTGCACAGCACTCTTCAAAGCCCTGTGCTTTGTTGACCCATTCATCCACCCCAATCCCCCTACATCTGACTAGACTGCTTGCACAGATGACATGTTTTACGGGAGAACAGCCTCCACCCTGAACACCTCCCTGTGACATAAATGCTTCGCTCATTCACCGCAATATCCAAGCAACTGTTTGTAATAAAGTAGTGAATGTAAGCCCTGGGTTACCTATTAAATCTTTTTGCCTGCTGCAGTGATCACTTAAAACCTTGTGAGTGTTTTCCATTTGGTTAATTGTTGTTTAAAATATTTTTTCCTGTTTGTGTATCAGAGCAAGAACAAGTAGGTTTATCCTGTATGAAAGTCAGCCCTTCACTAGAAATCTGTTTATCAATAGTAACTAATGTACATTCCATCAATATGTAACATGTTTCTTAAGAACAGCATACAGCACTGGAAAACTTAACCTCAACAAGTACAGATCAGTAATGAAATGCATTTCTATGGAAGAGGTGAAGGAGCACTGTAGTTGCCGTATTATTTTCACTTGGATTCAAGTATGGTTGGACTGGCTAGAGCAGGTATCATTATTTAACCCAGTGTCGGCTTAAAAAGTCTTCAGTAGGACGACAGGACTTGTACTTTTTGAGGCTAAATAGGCTGGTACATCCAAACATTTCAGTGAATAAAACATATTAAATTAGCTTCCTTCATATTTTGCAGAAAATCCACCTTCATCCCTGGATCCTTTTCAAGTTTGTGGTTTCCCAAAATTGCTTCACATATCTATTTATAAATCCTTAATTCCAGCAGTCAGCCTGCAGCGTTGTGTTTCAAGAAGGAAGTGAATCAGCCAGTGGCGAGATACAGACACAAATCTGTGGATACATGGATGAACCAAAACAGGAAAAGGACTACTGTTTGTAATTTGCAAAAATCCTGAAGCTAAAATAATAGTCTTTTATTTAACAACAACAATGACTGTTGCAGTCCAGCAGTCACCAGACGTCAATGTTACGTCAGAAAGACGTTGGACTCTTAAGACTCAAATGTTGGACAGACGCTAAATTTTGGTTGGAAAAGAAAATCCATCATTGGGTAACTGACGCTGGGATATTTAGCAGATGTTCAGAAGACGCTCAGCAGATGTTTGGACACATTTGGAAGACGTTGGATTTCAGTGACTTATTAACAGAACAGAACAAAATATTAATGTGTTGCGCCACAGCAGCACGACTAGGCTGTTCTATTTCGAAGGCTCCTTCAAAGGCGGCAGAGAGGTGTCCTTCTTTTCCTGGGCAACGAAGGATCCAATGAGTGGATCCTTCATAGCCCAACCTTTCCCAAGATTCATTGCGCGCTGGTAATGAAAATAATTTGGCAGCAAACAACACCGACAGACAGCCTGAGGATTACACTTTTAAATGTAGGTATTGGGTTTCAGCTCACAACTTTTTGTGAAAAAAATTACCTATTGTCAAGGTTGCTAGGCGACAAGAACAATGGTAAGGGCAGGCACAGCTGGTGACATAAAGGAAATAACAGACCAGACCAGACACAGTCTCATTTTGGTTCGTTCTTCATGGTCTAAGATGACTACGAAGGGTCACACCTTTGTTGACGGCGTCCTCATGACGTCATTTTACCCAGATGATAAAAACATACAGTTGAATGTCACTGACCACGAGTGGTATCTCATATCAATTTCAGTTTTACTTCCTAAATGAGACATCCAGCTCTAAAACCTCTGCTGCCACCAAGTAAGTGGAAGTGAATGGAGTTCCATTTGTGCTCATCAGTGCTATGAAAAACATATTTGAAAGAATACAACAGCAATATCTCTTGAATTTAGTGGACACTGTTCTAATTCTTGGTACAGTATACAAAATATATTCAGTATTTTCTCAAACTGATAAAAAAAAAAGTGCATGACCATCAAACGTCCAGCAATGAAAAGATAGATTTGTTTTTCTTCTATTTAAAGGAACTGAAACAGACGAGATGAACCCATCTTGTCTTGTCTCATTTGGCCTTTGCATGAAATAATCCTTTAAATATAGAGTTAATACAAAATCAACAGATTAAGAAATCATGACAATAGGAACATAATAAGATTCAATAAAATATATATAATAAAAATAAAATGATCAGATTAAAAACTAAAAAGTTAATAAATAAACAATGTTATCCTGCTGGATGACGCAATTTAAAACTAATTATGAAGAATTTTACAAATATTGAACATGAATTTAAATATTGGTTTTCACATACAGTATATTCCTAAACTGTATATTTGTTTTTTTTATGGAGATTACTTTCAACGTTTCCTGTGAATGGCAGCTGTGGGACGGGTCTTCACCCTCAGCAGCTCTGGGATTGGTCGATTGCTGCCTTGGTAAAAGTCCAGTCCCGTGATCCACTCAACGTCTCTGACTCGTGATTGATGGAACCACATGTGATCCTCCACCCAGTAAGATTCGTCTCCTGTGCTCTGGCAATGCAACATTGACAAAAGTGACAAAAATTACTTTAAATTTGACTGTTTGAACAAAGGTAAACTAATCAGTCTCTTAATTGCGGCTACTTTTCTTCTTTCTGTTGTTTTCTGTTTTCAAAAAAGAACAATTTCAGCCTATAATAAAGTAATAATTCCTACCTTGGTTAGGATTTGTCAATTTTGCCTTACTAGAATCATAATGTAAGGATTACAATGTCATTTCAACTGTTGATTTTTCTGTTTTTCCAACACTCACATCTCCAGTTCTGGCTGATTTCTGTTGACTGCTCAAAAGGTTCTGGCCTGATCATAAAACTTGGTGTAGACATTCATGGTCCCCAGAGGATGATTTGAAGTGATTTTGTTAACTCCCTAATTATTCCTCTAGTGCCAATATTTTCACTCTACTGAGACTTTAGAGCTTTCTTACAGGCCCATCCTTGGACTTAAATTTGCACTTTATGTATGAAAATATCAAAATCTAATGAACCATGGTGTCTACAGGGCACATTCATGCTTTTTTCCATAGTAATTCAATAATTTACTCTTACTCTATTGGATACTTCCTCTTTCTTTACCTCTCAGTAATTTTCATTTTAGATACAGGTGCTTTTTTCCTGGAATTAAAACTTGCATATTGAACATCAGTCAAGCTCCTTTTAACTTTAAGCTATCATGTGGAAAAAACTAAATGCATTTATGCTTGAGAGGATGAATCCTCTCCTATGGCCTTACCTCTAATGCCACCTGTAGAAATTTAAATTGTGGGATGAGATGAACAAGCTGGTTTAGCACTAGGTCACTTGGACTTGAGTATTTTATTTCAGTATTTGTGTGGAAGGAATCTGGTTCTTTGCCAAACATGTAACCAACAACAGACTTCCATTTATGGCTCTGCAACACAATGTTGCATAGTTCGTTTGAACTCTTTGTTATTATTTGATCTGGCTTCACTGCTCCCGTGTGTCAGTAAATGGAAATATCATCACCACTTCACATGCAACAGGAGGAGAGCACACTGCTGTTTTGTTCAGGAGAAGCCAGCATGAAAGGCAGACAGCAGGGAGGCAGTTTTGTAATGAGTCATACAAAGACTTTCAGTTTGTCTGCTCCAGTGTGAAGTGGCTCTTAGAGGCAAGACAATAAACACATAAATAAAAAACTGGATACAGCTGAGTCACAAAAAGGTCAACTGTGACATTGTGATTTTCTTACTTTGCAGCTTTCTGAGTTGTTGGGTCTGTGAGGCAGCAGGAAGGACACGGTCTGCAGCTCGCCCATGCAGGTGGTCACTGATTGGGCCGAGTCCCTGCAGCTGGTCAGCACCGCAAAGTAATGTGTGGGGATGGAGATGTTGGTGCCAGACACAAACCTTGAATCACACAAAAATCCACAGTTTTATTCATGAGCAGAATCATCCCAAGTGCTGTGTAATTCAGTAAAACCCTCCAGCCAGTTGTGATGACCATTTAATTTCCAATAGTGTGGGTGTTAATGTGCTGCAGCTCCCACGCTTCAGGTTTTAGGCTTTCTATCCTGGTTGAACCTGGCATCAGGGGTTTGATCCCATTCAGACACAGGTGCATCAGCGAGGTCCAGCACTGATTGTGGGCGAGAGTGTTTCCAGACCTCAGTCCTCGCCCCAGTGGAACTAAGAGCCCTGAACCAAAAAAACAAATAAAAAGACCAGACCACAAGTACACATTTCTTTCATTTGTTTTCATCTACATTTATGTCGATGGTTAGCTCAGCAGCACTTTGCAATGGCTCTCAGTTGGTCAGATGCAACACGCTGCATTCTGTGTCTCACAGTAAAGACGACATTTCTCTTAAACACTGTAGAAACCCTGCACCTGGAGTCATCATCAAGAGTCGCTGAAACAAGAAAGTGGAGGCGACACCTAACCCACGTTTATGGTCGTCTCGTTGTGTGACCACAAACCAATCGACAATAAGTCAGTCAATTTACTGACAAAGTGAACTTCGTGTGAACAAAGTAGGAAATAAACAAAAGCCATAACTTAGCTTTGATTAAATATGAAATTCAAGAGAAAATGTACTGGGTGGGGGCGGAGGGTGGGGCTTTTCCTTTTCCAAAGAAAGCCTAGACTTATCTTTACCATCAACATATACTGAAACAAGTAGGCGGCATCAGCGCTTGATAATTACCAAGTCAGGCACTTAAAAACAAAACAGTGGTGATGAGAGCTTACATTTTGTCCCGCATGATGATGTGAGTTTTTAATGTTTTTCTTTCCTTGTAGCTGTTCATATTCAGAAAAAGCTGCTTTTTGATTGATTTGAACTGAGCTAAGATCCAGTGTTGGGATATGTCAGAGTGGTGCATTATAGTTCTTACAGCATTGGCACTTACAGGAGAAAGAAAAAAGAGTGTGTGTGTGTGTGTGTGTGTGTGTGTGTGTGTGTGTGTGTGTGTGTGTGTGTGTAGTCATTTTAACCCAAAGTTTGCTTAGTTTCAACAGTAACTGGTAATGTAGCCTGATCCATGAGCATTGTTGTTATGATTGTCTGCAATTTAATCATGTTCCAAACTGTTGATTGGAACTACTTTTACAAAAAAGCCATGGTGTGAATTCCTGAGAGTTAAGTGATTTTTTTTAAATAGCTAAATAAGGGGCGTCAAGTGTCGCAGTGGGTTGAGCAGGTGCCCCATATGCAGAGTCTACAGTCCTCGCTGCAGTCGGCCCTGGTTCGAATCCCGTATCGGACGGCCCTTTACTGCATGTCATTCCCCCTCTCTCTGCCTCCCCATTTCCTGTCTCTCTCTACTGTACTATCAATAAAGGCATAAAAAGCCCATAAAAATAAATAAATAAAAATATTTATAAGTTTTTTATTTATCTGTGAGAACAACCATAGAGAAGCAAGTTGAAAAGGTTTTTTTTTTTTTTTTTAATTTCTTCCCAGGAAAAAAAAAATACACTTGCCTCTAGGGGTTGTTTATACAGATGTTGTGACTCAAACTGGTGAAGACGACATGTTCTTTGTTCTAATGAAGCTCAGAGCAAGTTCAATCAGGAAGATTATCTCTAATCTCCTTCAGCTGATTTCAGTTGCTCAGGAACCAATCACATCCCGCCATGATCTCATACTGCCAATCAAGTTGTCCCAGTCATGCTTTAAAATCTATTCTCCTCTCTCTCCCGTTGTCAGCTTTTATTTCAGTGCGGTTGCTGTGACCCTCCTCCCCCCCTTTCAGCACCAGTCTTCATATCCAGTCAGGCCAAGCTCATCATCACTCTATTCACATGCAGATCTCCAGCTTCTCCTCTTCCTATCTCCAGGACCAACACCAGCGTCTAGAGCCTCACCCCCTTATCACATATAATAACATCACGATGGGGTCTAACCGCCAGCAACTGTTATATCTCTTTGCATATGCCAATAAAAGTTTATTCGTTAAGCAAATTAATCTTTCCTGATTGAACAGACAATAGAACTCACTTCCCCAAAGTTCCTCACCGTTCACTCCTGGGGACGACCCGCCCCCAGGGACCTCACTGACCAGTCAGTGTTGACCAGTGTGTGACATATGACCCCCCAAGGTGTCACCAGACAAAACCAGATCTCCTTCTCTGTTCTTTCTCTTCTCTCCTTGGCTGACTTAGGAGCAGCAGCTCCTTCTCCCCTCTCAGCTCTTCAGGTAGCAACAAAGCTCCCAGCACCAGGTCAGCACAAGGCAACCTAGCCAACAACTTTCCTGCAGGCCAATAAATTGATAAACAACATATAGTGTCCCACTCATGAGGCAGAGCTCAGACCCAACACAGATGAAAAAAAACACAAACCTGGAAAAATGATTGTGGCAAAAAAAAAAAAGAAAGAAAGAAAGAAATTCACTAAAAAACATTTTTAAAATCAGTGCTCGCCTTAAATTCTTGACGTTTAAGACCAAGGAACAAGCTAGAATGACTCCTGTCCCATCAAGACTTAAAATCCTGATGCCACATTATGAATCTTCCAGCCCTTCTTCTGGGACAGGTGTGCTCAAAGTCTCAGAGTGAAAAATAAACATGGGGAAGAAGCATCATATACAGTACATACATCATATCAGTTTCATTACATCTAAGCTCATTTTTAATTTATTTTCAAATCAATTTTTGTTACCTTTCCTCTTGTGTCTTAACTATTTGTAAGCTCTGCTATTGCTACATAGCCAATGTTAGCATGAATGGCTGTTTAGTCACCAGTCTAGAAGAAACGTTGTGAGTTCAGCATGGAACTTCATTCCTTTTGCTCACCAAGAGAGGATTCCAGTGGTGGAAAGCAACGACAATGTTAAATCTTGTCTTCATCACGCCTTTTTTATTCTATTGAAGTTAGCGTGCTAACCAGCTAGCTCGTCACTTTCCGATAGCGACTCACTGTAGCCTCCAATCTGCCCTGAAGATGTATTATAACCTCATCTTGTAAATACAACAGTGACTGAAGCTCTCGTCAAGCAACAATCACCTCCACTCCCTCCCGGCAAGAAAAATGTTCAGCAGCAGAGAAAACTTACAATTACCCCTTTTAAATGCCTTTTGCGTCATTAAATAATTGAATTGAATTTGAATTGCAAGGTGGTTGGAAAGGTGGAATAAAAAACTTCCCTTGACTTTATTGTCACATCTAACTATTGCTATTTCTTCACTGTTACTTTGTCTTCCATTTTTCTGTTTGTGTGAATGGACACAAACAAAAATGGGAATCATAACATTTCAGTTAATTTTTCAATATTCTAGGAGGGGATGTGACAGTCTGGGGACCATCCACATGCACTCAGCTGATGAAAGCGAGGTACATCCTGGATAGATCATCAGTCCAATACTTGAGATGGGCAACTGATGACAGGAAACCAACAGGAAGTTTTATGGGAATGTTAACCTACCACAAGCCTCCAAAATGCATTACATTTCCTCTAGACTTGTAAGTAAACAACTGTTAATGCTAACGTTAGCTATGTAGCAATAGCAAAACTTACATATAACTCAAGAACCAGACGCCAATACACGAGAAGTCGTTATTTTCCACACCTGCCATTCATCCCAGTCTCCCTCCTGTTGACTTTGCAGCTGTTAATTAATGTAGTGCTTCATTCAAAAAAATGCATTTCCATTTCCTATCATGTATCACGAAAAACATGGACAATTCGTGTCCAGGTACATGTAATCCATAGATTCAATTTTGTGTTTGAGGACACGAACTGATGTGAGACTGTGTTGAAAAGTGGTTATCATAGTAACGTCATCCTCCCTAGGGAACTTACTGCTGGATCTGCTCTGGAGTGTCGTAATGGCCGTCGTAGTTGTAATCAAAGACGGGGCCAATCACCACATTTATGCCGTTGTAGACAGAGGCATATTTCTTTAATAGGGTGTTATGGAAGTAGTACCAGATCTCTGAGAGGATAGGATAGGATAGGAGAGGATAGGAGAGGAGAGGAGAGGAGAGGAGGAATAGAAATGTTAGGAATTAGTTTTTTTAAATTTGACATAATTTCTGTGCAGTTTAGTTTTTCAGTGTAACTTACTCTTAAACTCGGGATACATTGGCACCACATTACTCATCAGTAGAGCATCGTACTGCTGGTCCACTGTTGCATTCAGGTCTGCAAAAACACCACAAGAAACAAGGGTTTTTGTTTACCGAACATGTAAAGACAACACAATACTAACCTTTGTAAGTTCTGTGATCTTTTATATGAATTATTTGCTCTTGTAAAAGATTAGTTTTCCATTTCCAACCCAATCCTTCTGAAATGTTTTACAATTCTGCACAGTTAAAACCTCTGCCTCTGTTCTGAGAAACAAACCACCCTCATGGGTTATCTGATTGGGCTTGACAAGCGTCCAATGTGACAACTGCACGATTAGGCCTTCAAGTACCAATTATTCATTCATTCATTCATTTTCTACCGCTTATCCTCTAGTAGGGTCGCAGGGGGGGCTGGAGCCTATCCCAGCATCCTTTCGGGCGAGAGGCGGGGTACACCCTGGACAGGTCGCCAGTCCATCGCAGGGCAAACACACAGAGACAGACAACCATTCACTCTCACAGTCACACCTATGGTCAATTTAGAGTATTCAATCAGCCTAATCCCCATTTGCATGTCTTTGGACTGTGGGAGGAAGCCGGAGTACCCGGAGAGAACCCACACAGGGACGGGGAGAACATGCAAACTCCACACAGAAAGACCCCGCGTCCGAGCCGGGACTCGAACCGGGAAACTGAGGCGACAGCACAACTGTGACGCGACAGCACTAACCACTGCACCACCGTGCCGCCCCCAAGTACCAATTAATTTTTGATAAAAAATAAAAAATCTTCCAGTAAATTCATGCCAGTATGTTTCATCAAATGACTGAGAGATGAAGACATAAGAAATGCAGCTCACTTCTAGAGAAGAAAAACCTTGGGGTGTTATTGTTTCACTGAAGTGATTATCTCAGTATTAGGTCAACACTGCAGTGTATCATGTTTGTATATTTAACTGCATCCAACACAAGAACAGAAACTGCAGCCAAAAATCAAATGACTTAAAAGGGTTCTGAGTCAAGTCTTTGCATTTTCATACAAATAATTGTAATGATTGTAATAATTTATGATGATTCATAAATGTGAACCTGCACCAACTAATCTAGTAGGAAATGACTCATGTTCTGATTATTACCAGCCAATGTTTTGTTGTTGTTAGATGCAGATGCCCCAGGGAATCATTTTCTTTATTTATTTTGTAAAATGGAAATGGAAACAGGTGAGTAACAAATTAAGGAGTGTGTTTTTTTTCCCAACAGCAGAGAAGACAACAAACAAAAACATGACATGCGAGACGCGAGGACGGAGGATGAATAGATAATGGTGCACTTCAAATTTCCTGTTTTGTGAATCAAGATTTAGTTTAAAGGGAAATTTTCTTTGTCTCAGCTTTTGCCTCAGCAGCTCAGACCGATGCTTTGCCATGTGTTTTCCTGGCTCGCAGGTAGCAGCTGATTTCACTTGCAAGCACACAAGATCCCATTGTTAACAGTCTGAATGCATTCGCATGAAATGCATCATTTTTCCTCGGTACAAATGAAGTTCTGTTTGGTGGTAGAAGAGTAGCACAGTCGTCACTTCATGGCAGGAAGGTTTTGCTTTTAAACTGGCCCCAAGTGCTCCAGCTTCCTCACATAGTCCACATTCCATTTAATGTAAATATTGTGTTTTAGCTTGGTTGTACAGAAATGGTACAAATGTTAAAACCAAGGGCCTTGTAACGCAATAGTAAGGGCGAGTACAGCTGGTGATGCAAAGCAAAGACCATCTTTTGGCCAGATGGTCTCATTTCGGTTCCACCTAAACAATGTCCTCTAAAGTTTGTGGTTCCTGAATTGGGACAAAACTAAACTGTGCTGATAGCTCTGTTGGATTCTACCCCTCAGTTTTATTTGATGTGTCCTTTCTGGGTGTAAGTGCTGTCAAGTAATGTTTAACTACTAGGTCATAATTAAAAGTCTTAAATTAAGACCTGAATGTTTTAGAAATTCATTTAAAAAGGAATCCCTCACACCTGTCAAGCATACACAGCACCAACTTCAAAAGTCATTTAAGCAGCTTTGAGCTGGGATAATCAGGGCCACCCTAACCCTAAACCACCAGCTGACACCACTTCAGCTCCTCAAGCACAATGACTGTGTGCAAGAAATACTTATTATTAGAGAGCAAACGCTGAAGAGTTCCTTTGTAATGTGTCAGACATTACTGAAGCTTTCTGAAAACACCACTCCCATATGTAGCGTTAACGCCATATTTTAGAATTTACTCTTGTTGAAATGGGGCACCAGTCCTCTGGGAGGACAACAATGAATTACTTCATTGCCAAATTTATCAATCTCATATCGGAAGCCATGACTTCTCGATTCAATGGATCTCCAGTCTCTACATCAAAAGAATACAACAGGACAACAACTGGGTGTAAATAAAGGAGTTTATTAACTAAACTACTCTCTACAGAGTAAATGCAAGGTGTAATAATCATAAAGATGAAAATAATAATGAAATGAGCAGTGTGATGAGTTGGCAATGGTGGGAGAGAATATGTTATGGCTATACACTATGACTATACAGCTAATGATACTACATCTACGAATTAGGTTTGATGATTAAATATTGCTATATTTCGACATCAACCCAGTCATGAGCAGAGTGTTAAGACCGGCCTACTGTGAGTTGCGCTGTAGCTGAAGACCCTCGGCTGGAACCCAGGTGGCTGTGGTTGCCGTGGTAACCCTGGAGATGCGGGATCTAGGTGGATTCTCCTGGAGGCCGTGTCCCGTTATCACGATGACGGATTCTGCCGGTGTCTCAGCGGTTCAGCTCTGGTGGAGTTTGCCAGGAGACTCTCTGTCTCGGGCACTCTTGATTTCTTCTCAGCTTCTCTTCAGGCGGTCGTGCAGATGTTATCTGTTGGTGTCTCTTGCGGGTTGATGCGAAATAAACTCTAATGCTCTTCACTTTGGCTGAATAACTTCAGAGGAGACTGGCGTTGACCAGATGACTCTAAAGTTGTCAAAATCTTCAAAAAGCAAAACTTGATGATGATTAAAAGTTACAAAATTACCCTGAGGCACTTCTGTTGCTTTGGTTCAGTTGGTCTTGACTTGGCTTATAAAAATAAAAGATTGCGCATGTAGACAAAAATGATGTTACTTGGAGCTTTTGGCAAAGAAAAATAAAAGACGCGAAAAGTGCAAAAATGACTAAGAGCCATGAGTTTGTAGCGAGCAGCTTAGAGCTAAGAGTTTCCATGGCTACAGAGCCGGGCTTTGAGCAAAGATCTCAGCTTCTAGTTTCTGCATCGTTTCTCGCTTCTCGCATCTTCTTGTCATTTGGGTTTCTCTTTCTTTTCTTTCTTCTCTTTTTCTGGATTCTCCTGAACTGTTTCTGAACTGTTCTGAACTGAACTATATGAATTGTTCACAACTGTTTTATCCCCTGGGGGCGGGTGCATGTTTCAGGGGCGTCACTCATCTTCTTGTGTGTTTCCACTTGGAGAAGAGAGTAATTTCCCTCTGAACTTTGTCTGTGAATGTTCTCATTCGTCCAGGTCATAGTTATCTCTCTCTCAAATTAAATCGAAGGCAACTGGACTTGTATTTGTCTGTGGAAGACGTTTCGCCTCTTATCCAAGCGGCTTCATCAGTTCATCATGTATTGGTCTCTCTAGTCCGCACTAGTCTGACCAGTCAGACTAGTGCGGGAGAGATAACTCTGAACTTTGGAATAATTTAATTCTAGAGTTTACTTATAAACTCGTACATCCGTCTTCCACCATGACCACAAAACATTAAATGAAATAACATATGAAACTACTTGCACTAATAATGGCAGAGAGGAGTAATAGGAGTGTTGATTTCATATTACATCCTTCAAACCTGGAATTAATCATGATACAAGTGGTTAACTGATCAAACAACAATATAAACATTTCCCAAAGCTAATAGTCTATAAATGTGGATTACGCAGCAGTTCTTTGACTGTAATAATAATAATATGGACATGCTGGATGTCATGTAGTGCGTGTTACCTCGTGTGAAGGATGCTGACAGTATGGTCACATGAAGGACATTGTCTTAAAATCTACATGTTGAAGTTTGGGATAAACTATTGCATAGGAACATCTCATGAGTTAGGGAACAGTTAGATATTTAATTTTACATTCTTCCTTAGATCTGTGTCTGTGAAGAGAGTTCTGCTGGTCACTACCCAGGACTGGAATGTGGGTTGTAGTTTATGACTCTTATCTAGAGAGGGACAGAGGAAGGGAGGTTGGTGTGTGTGTTCATGCATGGCACAGAGAGGCCAGGATTCACACCTTAGTGTTAATCAGTCCTTTTGTTGTTACTTGTCCTATATAAATAACAATCAAATATCATTAGACAGAGTCTTATTGTTACAAACTGGAGATTTTGCCTATATTCTCCAGTTGCCTGGTGTCCATTGGTTGATCCTCTGGAGCTGACCCTTTGACCTTTGGTCTGGTTCTGTGTCTCTCTGTAATGCTAACAGCATGGTCTGTTTGTGGAAGAGGGGTCCTTTGTCTCTGTTTCCGATCAATTTGATAGTTTGATGGTGGGAAGAGTTGCAAAGTGTCAATTGTGGGTCCGTAACTCTGCATGTCCTTACAATGAACTTCCTTAATGGCTTGTGACTGATGCCAGGCCACTTATGTACGCTACACATAACTCCATCCAGCTCCCTCTGTTTGTCTTCACCACATAATTTAATTTAATTTGAAAAATCTATGACAACATTGTTTTATTGGTATCTCTCCAACACATGGAAGAGTTCAAGAACACCCTGTGAAAACAAATATTGTTGGTCATTACAAGTCTGTTATTATCATTGTACCTACCAATGTAATCATAAACTTTGTATTTAATTTGAGCAGATTCATTTCATACCACACAGAGAAGAAAAATGTATACGTTATAAGGTACAGTATATTGAAGTAAATCTATTTATGCCACAATCATGAGGTGGGACAATGTCGTGTCTGTCTTACTCTGCCCAGCCGGAGAGACGTCAATGTAACCCAACGTTGGCTTGTTGACATTTTGGCGTTCAGCCAACGTTGGGTTTTTCTCAAAACTACACTGACGGTATTTTATATGACAAGTTGGTATTAGCATGAGACGTTTGGAAGACATTTGGAAGGATTTTGGTAATTTAATAAACAACTTTCAACTAACAAAATATCAACATGAGCTGTCGTTATTCTACATCAAATTAGCCTCGGCACCGGACGTTCTCCTGACTTTGAATTTTTGTCACCTGATGTCACAAACTACATTCAATCAAAAGCTGCGTGCCTGCAGGGGTCTCTTCTAATCTGATCAGGCCTAACTTTTAAGGATTTACTCTCATCATCGTATAGTATTACATTGGGCCGAAAATACAGGCTGCAATCCAAAGGAATTTAAAGTACAACATAGATTCATATTTGGTAGGTGTGACATGTAAATGGTATGAGTATAATGGTGAGTGCAACATTTCTTTTTAACACTCTGCCTTATCCCTCTGTCATGTTTTTTCTTCATGTTACACAACCTTTTGAGCTGGTCGGTATTGATTTGATTGGCAAATTGGCAGCAACACACAGTGGCAACCAGTATGTTTGTGTCATAATTAGTACTTTACAAATTGTCCGCAAGCCTGTCCTCTTCGTCAAAACATGCAGACCTGGTCACAGACCGGATCCTGAAATGTGTCCACCAGTTTGACGCACCGAAGAGAAATCTGACCAGGGGAGCGAGTTTTAAAATGTCATAATTCTTATGTAATGTTTTGGATCCATGATAGTAATATCTCTTGATATTGTATTGTTTGTGCCAAACTAGGCATTAAGAGAAGTCTATACGCTCCATATCATCCGCAGACTGATGGTCTGGTTGAGGGAATGATTCGAACCATCCAAAAGTAAGGAAAGCACGGCATGGCTATGCACAAATTGTATTGTTGCCAAAGAATTCTGCAATCTCACCAATCTCACATCATTTTACAGGGCTCTCTGCAAACGTTTTGGAACAAGCCGATCTTTTGATGTTTGGAAGTGAAGCATGTTATCATAAGATATTATCTGGTTTGTAAAAAGGCAAAATTAGGTTTGATTATATTATGAAGATTGAATGTCAGTTTTTCTTGATGTGGTCTAAAAAGTAAAACAATCTCAATTTCATGGTTTGCCGTGACGGAAGATTTATGTTTGAGCTTTTGTGTTGTGTTGTGTTGTTTTTGGCCAAGAGTAATACACAAAGCCACATGGTGCTAAAAGTAGCATCTAAGTTAGAAGCAGTGGAGAGGAATCATACAGATGCTTTTTGGAGAATGCACTACTTTTGTAAACAGCAATTAATCTGTTATTTTAGTATTCAGTTTTTTTTGTTTTTGTTTTTTTTACTGTGGGATGTTGCGCATGCATTTTCACCGGCACAGACGCTCTTTCATCAACCAATCGCTTTGGTTCCTGCAAGGGAGCTCGTCCATGAAAACTGACATCAGCCATAGCAACAGAGTCGCACTCTTAGCTTAGGAGTTTTCATGTTTCCTTACTAAAAGTTGGCCTCAGCAGCTTTGTGAATAGGACTTAGGGATTTAGGGTGTGTCTCCTCAAACAACTACTGTATGTTTTTGAGCACCAAGAGATGGACAACAGACAAAACATTCTTGAGTGAGTGACTGTGTGTGTGTGTGTGTGTGTGTGTGTGTGTGTGTGTGTGTGTGTGTGTGTGTGTGTGTGTGTGTGTGTGTGTGTGTCTGTGTCATTGACTGTCTATGCATAAAGCACAAACTCAGTTTTGTGTCATTTGGGTGCTGATACATACTAGGTGGGTAGAGGAAGGCATGTGTCAGGTTCCCAGCTGTGTCATACTGGTTACATCTAGGGCTCTTGGATGCTGGAAGTCTGACATCAGCCCTCAAACAGTCTGGTGTTACTGGCAATAGTGGGTCCAAGCTCATCTGCAATGATGGGAAAATTCAGACTTTAGTTATCATTTGTATCAGATTTAATCATCTCCAAACACTTAAAAAAATAATTGGCAATACAGTCATTTTTACCACAGAATGTCCCTGAAAACTGCATGAACACCACCTGTTAATCAATATAATAATCTTTTAAATGAACGAGGGCCGATAGAATAATACGAGCTGAGACAAAACAGGACAGGATAGCTGAGCAAATTCCATCTGCTGATGAAGACTGTGTCTCATAGCGGGTGGAGGAAAAGCTAGTTAGTGGACGCTAACTGTGGTCGGTAGACAGTGATAATGAGCATTCCTAAGCCAAAATAAACAGTGATCTGTGTTGGGTCCTGCTGAGTTACTTGAACTTCATGTGCTGTGTAAACATTTCCTTTTAAGGTGCTATTGATATTGTACTAGGTCCATATTCATAGTTCTTTTATGTTTTATCATTTTTCATGGTTGGCTTTCATGTATTAATTGACTGACTGGACATATTCCGGCTAAAATAGATTAATATACATTAATGTTTGTTTGCTAGTGTCACCACTGGCAGAATTAAACTATTTCACTCTGGCAAGTGATTAAGTAATTTAATCCACTGTGATAACTCAATTAATTTGTAAATAATTGAATTACCACACAGCAAACCTGAAGATATTCTGAACCACGTCTCATTGAATTTATGTTCATGTACAACAAATGTAACTGCGAAGAAATATTAAGAAATGTTGTAAATTTACATGTTCGGCAAGTAACAAATATGTTGATACCGAACGTATCAGTATCGTGAAACTATTTTTAGTGTGGGGTTGTTTTATTAGAAGAAGCCGACGTTTAAAGATTTACACTGAAAATTTTCCTCAAAATTTCCCTTTTTATTGAATCCATATAGAGGTTCATCATCTGCAGTGTGGGAGGAGCAAAATCAGACACTGAAACAACATGAAATTGTGCACAGTTCAACCGTGTACATGACCTGACAGGATTATGGTATTCCTCCAAAATCAACCTGATTGTCTGTCACTACGTGTGTTTTTATGGGAACTGTGCACATTTCCAGTATTGAAATTGTATATTTTTAACATTTACCGGTTTATCGACGGTGAAGGAGCTCCACAGAGGCATCAGAGCTTTGGAGCTATAGCCGCTGATGAATCCCTCCTGGTAGAGGATGCAGTAACTCTGGTCAGGCTGCAGCATCCGGGGACGACCAAATAGCACGTGCTTCTTCTCTGTTGCGGACTCTGAAAGGGGAAAAGTGTAAATGTTGACATTGGTACAAAGGTCATTTTTGCTCCCTTTACATTGTCCAATCAGTGGAATTTTTGACAACCTTGGAAATTAGTGGTGAGATGTAGGCAATGACAAAAACTCATTGATAACATTTTAAAGGAGCTAATCTAGAATCCAAAAATCTAAAAAAATCTAAAAATTAAAACACAAATGTTACTGTAGAGAAGAGGAAACAGGGCCACAGAATCACAACATGTCATGTTCTTATATTTACAAAATCTTTAAAGCGCAAAAGTCAAAATTACTCACGCTCTTCTGTGGTCAGATTCAGACGGCTATTGATGGCATTTCCACTCTAATGAGAGAGAGATGGAAACAAAACTGATTCTTTTAATGGAAATCAATGGAAGTTTATACTGTACCTAGGACATACAGAACAGTACAGATAAATGGAGAAAAGTTAAAAATATATAATTAGAAGTAAATAAAACAAAAGTGGTGACATGGTAGGAGAGTGGTTAGCACTGTCGCCTCTGAACCCTTCTTTGTGTTCTCCCTGTGTGGGCTTCCTCAAAGATACAAAGCCGTGCAGGACGGCAGCAAAGACAAGCATAGTATATGTCAAGAGTGATATGAGACCAGCTACTGTAAAAGTGGCACAGCAGAGTGTGATGAGTGATGAGTTGACTCCAGACTGTCGAGTTCCAGCCCGACCACAGAGCTGGTCTTTCTTATTAGCTTGTGACATCACCTGCCAGCCCTGATGCCAGCTCCCACAGCACACCACTGTCCAGCTACTATCCTTGGTGAAAAAGAAAAAATCAGGAACTGAGCAAAAGTTTTAGTGCCCTAAAAATAAATGTTCTCTCGCATGGGCTTCACATTAATATACTGTAATTAAAACCTGAATCAGTTTAGCCGCTTTTGATGTTTCTTTTCTAAACCTATTGCATCTATTGTTCTAACAGTGAAATATAACAGTCAACAAAATCATACAAAATGTTTTAATCATGCTCGAGTGCTCTTTTTGTTTTATTGAAAATGTCAGCAAATCATTCTGGACAGTGCTCTGCGTTTGTTATGGAGAATGATAGTGGGTCACTTTCAGGGATATGTTATGTGAGTGGCGTTGTGTATTTTTGATAACTGCCGCTGAGAAAATAAAATCACTGTTGTGAATGAGCCAAGATGAGAAACTCCCAACATCAGAAACAATAGGGGTCTATGTGCAACCAGACAGCGCCCACAGCTGGTGGAGCAGACAGGCATATAAAAGCTAATGCACAATAGGATCTCAGTTTACTCCTAAGTCAAAACATTGTATTTGAATTGTTTACAAAAAACCTTACAGCACATTGAACTTAGTTTTAACTGAGTGTGACAGTCATGTGGTGGAGGATTTGCACACATCTGGCCAAGGTGAAGATTTCTCTTCCGAAAGCTGTCAAGTATGAAAACATCCAGATAGTTGGTTGGACTGAGGAGGAGGGAGTCTCTGTTTTATTAGCAGGTGAGGTCATGGGTTGGCATGACAGACAATTGTTTGCATGTTTTATTTTGTACTTTCTTTGTGTCTTTTGATGTTTTTACTTCCTCACCGGTGTTCAATCACCCTTGCCTCCCTTGTGTCTATTTAGTCTCTGTGCTCCCCTTTGTCTGTGTCAGTTCACACTGTTGAAGTCCCCTGTGCTCCCTCATGCTTCTGCTTCCTGCTCGGTTCGTCCTTATCTTCCCTGTTTTACCCTGTTTGGATTTTTGATGTTTCCTTGTGTCACTTACTCCTGTACTCTTTCTGTTTTTTGTCATTAAAAGCATTTTCCAGCTACTCCCTTGTGTTGGCTGCATTTAGGTTCAGTCGTTTCCCTAAAACGTAACAATAAGAGGGAAGAAACACAGGAAGGTGAAGGGGTTAAGAATCCAGGGGGAGATTATATTCAAGCAGACTGTAATGATTTGTCCTGGTGAGGGAGTGTAATCATCTTAAACCTTGTGGGATATTGTAAAAAGAAATCATTTTAAAAACATTGGCGTTGCACATATTCTGAGGTTTTGCAGAAATGCAAGTAGGAAGCTGCACACGGCACCACTCACCTGCATGAAAACACAACCCCAAAAGAGCAGACTCATAAATTAACTAGAATCACCGCCTTATGGCTGTCTGCCTCTGCCACTCAAGATAAGTTGAAGGTTACATCCCTGTTTATCCAGAGTCATAGAAAATATGAACCATTTGTGTGAAATTCTGTCATAATTGCTGTGTGAAGTCTTGAGTTATGGCTAAAACCTTAGAACCTAAACCTTAGACTGCCAAAGTCTAATCAGTTTGTTGTATTAAATGTGAACGCTCTGTCCCTGAAGTTGGACTGTATTTAGTGGTGAATGCCAAAGAAACCATCACAAGAGTTTTAATGGGAACTTTGATGCTCACTTCCAGCTTTGTAGTTTGATCTGCAGTTTGATCTCTGCATGATTCACAGTTTTAAAAAGTGCTTATTAGTTGCTCCCAGTTGAGCCTCTGCCTGAAACAGGCCTCCTTAAAAGCCTGCTTTCTTCTGATCGGCAAAGCCTGAGGAGGGGCACCACCCGGCATCACGGTATCCTTTTACCAGCTATCTGTAAACTAAGTAACAGAACGTAATCGATTGGAAATGGGAACTTCCAAACCAAATCCATGCGTGCGTTTGAGCCTGTATCTTATCCAGAATATGAGAGTGGGAAGCACCAACATCAGGCAGCAACAAAGATTACAGCAGGACGTCTCTGCTGGGTAAATATTAAACCAGTGGAACTGGCTGGGATGATGAGGAAACAGCTGTGTGCATGGGCAGGGAAGCTCACGTGACTGAGAATAGGAGACAGGTGAGCAGGTGGCTCTGGCAGTCAGGTGACTGCGATATGGAGGAAAGTCTGAGGACATCTGGTGGGTGCAGCAGAGAGGTCCCCTCCGGAGGAAGAGCATCGGCGGCTGATTCGACAGCCCCAGGAACAGGTTGGTCAATGCCAACGCGACGGCAAACAGCCCCGTTGCAGAAGAGATGTAGAGCAGGACACTTCGGGTGGACGGCCCATTGGCTGGAGAATCTCAGGCAGTGGGAGGCTGACTTATGGAGCTCACATATTGCCCCTTTAATAAATCATTCTTATGTAATGACTCAGTTTATTAGTGCCATGGGTGCTCAGCTCCGAGGCACTCCTCTACAGCTAGAATAGCATCTATTAATATTCCTTCGGGCTTATTATTATTCTTCCGCCAAATTTTGGCGCGTAACTGGTCCCGCAGCTTTGAGAAGAGCCCAGTAATATATACATCAAAACATGCGTCTTGATCCCGAAAGAGGTGCTATGACTTTTGGTGTTAAAATTCCAATTTTTCCCAAAGTTATTCCAAAAATACTGGGAATAAATAATGCATTAGGAATGCATTGGAATTTTCTTTAGAAACCCACGAAATTTCACCTTTTTTCTACAAAATTTCACCTTTTTTCTGAGTCACCCAGCTCTCTCATACCTGCACGGAGAAATGTGATTCAAACTATAAAACGGAGGAAAACTTCTGCTCTCTCCAAAACACAGCAAATGTTTTTACATAACATGTAAACTTTTCAAACTATGAGCACTCAAAGGAGGAGTGGAAATCACTTTTTCTTCAAAGTTAGAGTGACAGCGTCAGTTGGCTAGAACTAAGGTCATAATTCATATATAGTTTTCTCATTTCTTATTTTCCCTTAAAATAAGTAAACATTTGTTAATGAGTTAATAATGCACACTGTTTCTCAACTGTCCTCTCCAGTTCATGGTGACTCTACTGTAAGCTTTTATACTTTTATATTTTAGCAAAATAATACCAACCAGGGCAAGGCAGGAGCATCCCAGGCTGTCTGCAGGCTCAAGGCTGACCAGCTGACAAAGAGCAGGCACGCTCTGCTCTGCAGGGGGCACCGGTGTGTAGTAGGCCTGCTTCAGGACGTGGTTCATACTGCCATGGGTCCCATTGTTGTCACTGGGAGAGATCTTCAGCAAGTCTGCATGGGACGATGACTGTTAAGTTTTGTGGATGAGTCGCTTTGCATGCTTCCTAACTACAGATCTTGTGTAGGTCACATTACAGGTGACTGTTTCCCAAAGCACACACGCAAAGATTTTTGGAATGATTTCAGCTTAGAAAATCTATTTGCAGAGACTGAAACCCTGCGAGACAAAAGTAATCCATCACAGTTAACGTTTAGATTGCTTTATGTTTCTTATGTATTGTAGTAGTATGTAGGTAACACAGGCGCAAACAAGGAGCGGTTCTGTAACTCTTCACGATTGGTGAAGAGTTAACATTCTTTCCGCAACATGAACTTAGCTTGATAGATGTTCTTTGACAATAGAAATAACAGAGTTTAATAATGCAGTTAAAATCATTGGAAAAATAATAATAATAAATAAGTTTCAGACTGCGGTTTGTTTGGAGTCTTACTATTAGATGTCATTTATCAAAAGAACACCAAAAAACTCACCACACATGAGATTGTATAGCTCGACGTTGGAGAACGGTTCAATTGCTGTTTTGGACTTAAATTTGGGTCCATAACTGACAAACATGGCCTGCATGAAAAGAAGAAAGAAGAAATTTCAAACATTTATTTCAGTGCTGTACTGGCAATGATGGACACGTTGGGGAAAAAGGTCAAGAGAGTCAAAAGGTGAAGAACTAAAAGTTACGGAATAACTGTAATAAAAAAATAAATAAAGAGATACATTTTAGAGGGGGCAGAAGGGCTTATTGGAGACATAATTGCTGACTAGTTGGAGAGAAAAAAAACAAAAATCCTCAGTGCTCACATGCATGCTCTCAGCATCGTTGTCATAGCCATGAGCTCCACCAGAGCAGAAGGTGAGAGAGCCAGGATATCTGCAGGGACACAGGGGAGTTCTTCAGTTTTAGCTCAAAAGTCAGTCGGATCAGTCTCTAACATAAACTGAAAAGCAGTGTTCCGAGTTTGAAGGAGTGCGTGGGTGAGGGAATAAACTCCCCTGGCGAGTTTATATCACAGGACAAGATGAGTGCATTAAAAGTAATTTGTTTCTGTCAGTGAGTGGGCTGATAACATCCTGAGGGGCATTCTGTGTATTTTGAAACGTTTAAATGTGGCTCACTCATCATCTGGCTGTTAACCAGATCCAGACAGTTTATATCGCAAATCAAATTGTGTCCTTTTCAAATACACCTTCCCACGTTTTATGTGTTTCCTAACGTCCTCCTGATTCAATTTTTTTGCATCCTTTAGTTGTTGGCTGCAATTAAGACACAGTAAAAAACACAAACTAACAGACAAACTGAAGGCGAACGATGGGTACCTCTCAAACAGCCATTTTGGGTCGACCAGGATGTTGACGTCTTCGATACGACGGCTGTTGGCAAAGTGAAGACGCTTTGGTAGGTTGGCCTTCAAGTACGGTTTGATCTTCTGGTCTGGTTTCTTACACTGAATCATCAGCAAAAACACAGGAAATGACTTTATTTTAAATGGACACATTCATTTCTTGTAGCAAAAACAGCTTTATTGTCTTTATGTTTCATGTAAAAACTAATACATGAGTAGGTTTAACCGCATGCATCATAACCTCCACTGATCAGACTCAACTGATTAGCAACAAACTTGGTGAAAGTCACTGGCCAGAGACAAACCCATTACATTTTGGGTTCAGATCCAAATCACTGACTATGAATCAGATTTATTTTGTATGATGTCTGGTGTGTGTTGTTTGTGGCTTTAGTGGAAGTCTGAGCTCCCTGAATGCTTGATTCTTCAGAAATGATCTCATTTGTCAGATGGTGGTTATCGCATTTCACACTGAACTGTTTTTGTAAAAAATTGTTGAACATGTGGGTGTTGATGAAAGGTTGGTTACTTACAGTCATGTTAGAAACAAGTCCAGCTGAGTTCACTATTGAAAGGATGAAGGACAAAAGTCAAAATTTATGTCATTTCACAAAGCCCAAACTTTTACCAACACACACATACACAGCACATGAAAGGTTTATTTTCTGCAGCGTCATCAAATATATTTAAATTCACACACCTTTCAGGCAATGTCACCAGCAGCTTTCTGATTGGACTCTGATTTGTGATTGTATTGTCATTGTCCAATCAGATTCAGGTGTAAATACAGGGTCAAAATTCGTACTAGTAATTTCAGCATCACACAGTTTTCTGCTTCGTATCAGTACACACTTGTTCACAAAAGCACTTGTTCTTCTTTCACAGTGTATAAATCTTTAACACATGCACAAATTTGAATTTCTCGAATGAAAAAACTCTGGATTGGGGAAAATCTTAGGTTTCCCTCAAAGTCATCTTTTCTTGTGTCCGACAAAAAGCTAAGATTAAGCACAGCGCACAGTACACATTTTGTGACTGCACATAACACAGTAGCAAAAGAAGGTATGTGAACCCTTATGAATGATTAATGGGTCATACAATTTGATCTGCTCTTCATCTAAATCCCAAATACAGATCATGCAAACAGTTATAATCTTTTGAGTCTTTACTGAGCACAACCATTAAACTTTCACATTGCTGGTGGTGAACCCTTGGATTTAATTACTGATCAACCTTCTTTGGCACCAATAACCTCAAACCAGGTCTTCCAGTAGTTGCTGATCAGACCTGCTCAGTGTTCAGGAGGAAGTTTGGAACATTCTTTCTTATAGAGCTGCTTCAGCTCAGACATATTCCTAGGATGTCTGGTGTCAGCAACTCTCTTCAGCTCATTCCATGTCATCTGTACTGGATTGAGCCACCCCAACATTATCCTGTAAGACACTTTGATATACTTTGGAATTCATTTTCTCCCTCAATGATGTCAAGCTGTCCAGTCCCACATGCTCCCTCCACCCTACTTCACCTTTGTGATGATGTTTCCATGCTGGTATATGAGTATATGGGTTTTTTTTTGGAGAGCAGCAGCTTCCTCTGTGGTGTCCTGCCAGTACAATAATAAAGATTCAAATAGTTTTTCTTGCCATTGTAAATCTTTCTTCAGCGTTTGGTAGTTTTCATCAGCATCTGCTTTCACTCAAATGCCCAGATGCTTTGTTGGACTGATACAGTGGTTGAATGTCAGAGAGGTTCATTCAGGAGCATGCAGGTTCCACTGTAACCAAACCAAAAATACATGCACCTTGTGAAAAATTTAAACTGGAGCCAGTCCATATACTGGGAGTAGACCTTGATAATTAGGTGTCATGTTTAGAAACCTAGAAACCACATGATTCTTGATAGGTTGATGAAATGTTATGGTTACGAAACCCATCACAAGCCTTTTTATAGTTCCTTGAGTCAGACCTTTCACCTGTGTGGTTCATAAAGCCCCCTTTGTATATTTACTCACAGACTTTGTCTTTGTTTTTAGCTCTGATCCGTCCGAATGGCCCCTCGGTGACGTAGTAGTTGCTGATGTCTCCCACCAGCTCCTGTAGCACCTCCTTCCTGTTGCAGCTTGTATCTTCCATACCTGCAACAGCAATCAGATTAATCTCTCTACTGATATCCTACAGCCACTTAAAGAACATACTATTGGTTTTGGATGTTTTACTTATTAACTGCAATTCACAAGTTTTTACACTTCATACTTCATGGCACTACAGTTTTTGGATTCATTTCTTTCCAGGGAAACAGGCGATAAAAATTAAGTTGCAGACACTCGGACCTTTCTTCAGACAGGTGATCCATCATGGTAAATCACAAGGTGGTTATGAACAAGTGCGCAGGCACTGTTAAGAAAACATATAAGGTTTGATGGTCAGCTGCTAATCATCTGGCAGACGCTTTTATCCAAAGTGACTTACAAGTGAGGGACAACACCAAAGCTTCAGTGCAGTGGGAGACCTTGAAGTAAGCACAAAGTACTAAATCTGTTCAGCAAGGCAAAGGGCAGGGAAGTCAAGTAAAGAAGTGCTCTCTGAAGAGATGAGTCTCCAAGAGATTCTTGAACATAGAGAGGGATATCATTGACTGCTTTGATAGCATTCAGTAGCTTGTTCCACCATCGGGAAACCACAGACGAGACCAGTCTGGACTGAGACTGTCTCGTGTGCAGGGATGGAAATGCCAGATGACATTCTTTAGAGGAACGCTGTTGTCAAGAAGGAGCATAAGGCTGAATGACTAAGTTCAAGTAGATGGGTGCAGACCCAGAAGTCACTCTGAACTATTCATTATAAATTCTGTTTATTTCTCTGAATATTATTGTATTTGTATATTGTAAGTCTGGGTCACTATTAATATTGTACTCTTACTTTTGTAATCCTAAATGGAGGTTATGTTAAAGGGCCTTGCCCTTCATATTCATGTAGTTCATAACAGAAAGGATATTAGTAGGGTATTTGGTACACATATAAATATGGACATTTCTTAAATAATTTAAAGTAATTACTCTGTGTTCTTATAATACCAGTGTCTGATAGTGATTTACTGTCATTCCAGACTGATGGCAATAGTGAGTATTCAACAATAAACCCTGCTGGATCCTGAAGCAGATTGATCAAGAATTACATCTCCTCGCCTTCCTTCCTGTGTCCTGACTGATACACCATCCTGTTTACTGCTAAAACCTAAAGGGAGCTAGCCCTATCCTTTCACCTCATAAACAACGGCATTTAAAAGGATATTGGATCGGTTGATTCCTGCTGTATAGGTCAGTACCTGCCATGATACCGATCCAGCATAATGTATCGGTGCATCCCGAGTCGTACCCACACAAAACGTTGGTAAATTGATTAGACTCACTTCTTCATTTTAATTCATTGGTTTAAAATAATACAGGTGACTGAGAAAAAATTTCCCAAAGACACATTAGAATATGTTGTGAGTTACCATGATCGGCCACAATGATGATGTTGAGACAACGGTGTAGGCCGATCTGCTTGAGGCCGTTCATGAGCTGACCAATGATCTTATCCACACCCTGGAGTGCTTCAATCAGCTGGAGGAGACAAGTGAAACAAACACAGACCCTCAGCAGCTGGATACAATATGATGTCAAGACATAAAAGATAGGACATAAAAATTATTATTCTGTTCTTAATTATGCAATAATCATTCACAAGGTTTCTTTTTATCTCTGACAATACTAACTGCAGAGTAGCAGTGGACATCACTGAGGCCATAAGCACTAAAGCTACTGTAACTATACTTTTGGCAAAGGAAAGTCCTTCAGAGTTCAAGCCTTGGCAAATGAGATCAAATATAAACAGCAGAAATTAAACTGTCACAGCAGTGGGCATTATAAAATGAAATAAAAAAGAGGGAAAGTGTAGAATTCACTGCATTTTTGACACGGCACTGTTGTTGTGAAATTGGCCTTATAGTCTGTTTGGCTCCTCAATAAACTGACCGGTCATTACCACCAAACATGTGAAACATTGTACAGTCAGGAGTGCAGGGTTGACCATGAGATGTCAAAAGGCTTTGTCTTTCTTTTGCATCTTCACCCTGGAGATAAGTGATGCTTCATTCACAATATACCTGTGGATGTGTGATATGTGTGGATGAGCAACAGTAAATTTAACTTTGAAAAAAAAAAAGAAAACAGGATATGGGAGTGACTGCCAAGGGATGCGGATGTGGGCATTTTTGATGACTACTGTTGTTTGGTATGATATGATGTTCCAGATAAAGTGAGCAGACAAGCTCCATGGTTTCCTCAGTGACTGAATTCCCTCAGGCATTTTGATTTTGCACTTCACTTGTGCCCACACTGATGCCATGGAGATTGCTAAAACCTGGAGATGAGCCAGAGGTAGGTGTAAGAGTTTCAGAATGAAACTGGGGCAACCTGACACAACTCCAGAGTGGATTTCCCTGCCACTCATCTGAAGCTTTTGGAAAGGTGGAGCCAGGATTTTCAGCACATCATTAAAAATTTAGATAGATGAATACACAGGCCTGACTTCAGAGGCACAGTGGAACACTTAATTTTACAGAGAAATTACAAGTTCCAGTTGAACTTATGTTTTGTGTTTATGTTAAAAACGTTTCATATTTGAATCATTTGCTTTAGCTTGCTGTTAATAACACACAAAGTGAAACAAGCGTAGGGTTGCCTAAAAACTAGCTAGCGGTACTAGCCAAACTTAATATCCCCTGAGCTAGCATCTAACTACAACGGCCCTGCTTAATGACGTGCCAGATCTTATTTTGGAACATTAAGCAGCGTCCTCTATTTTTTTCTTTCTTCTCCTTTCTCTTTTTGCGGCTGTCCATGCTTCCACACTAATGTGAAAAATGAACACACACATTCCCTGGATAATACCAACACGTCTATGATAACTCTGTATGAGCCCAAATGACAGTTCATAGCTGTTATTAGGTCATTAGCTGACCGATTACAATTCCAGTCACATCAGGATTGTACCACTTGAGGACGGGCCACTCATTTAGCCCCCTACTGCAAATATAGACTTGGATGCAGTTGTGCGCAGGGAGATACAAGAGGAATTCTCCTGACCCTCCTGATTACCACTCCCCTACTGCCTGACTTTGGGCACGGCTGTAAAGTGGGCACTCGTGCCGCACATCTTTAGAAACCTAGGTACGGCCGCTGTGGCTCAGCAGGTTGTCCTTTAATTACAAATTAACATCTTAAGTAGGAACTTGAAGCCACAGAGAGGGTGGGAAAGTCAGTAAGTAAGAGACAGATGAACACTTTGCTGGTATAAGTCTTTTTGTAGAATTTGTAGACAATAAGAAACATGTAGAATAACACCAGTCTTTACATTCAATATAAAAATGTTGACTAATGCTCACACCCATGCCCAAAACTTTTCTTATTCTCACTTCTAAAACACAAAACATTAACACCACTTACTTATTAACATCACAGACCTTTGAGTTTTCAAACTTAAATGAAACCTTTACAACAGTAATTAGCTGCAGTGCTTGTTTATGAATCACTCCTTCGCATGTGAACCACAGAAGCTGGAGGACAGTCTCTGAGTTTCATTGAAGTCACAGCTGAAATGAATTTACATTTTATCCTCAGGCAAGTAGACAGCAAGACGAAGCAAAGTAATCCCAAAGCAATCTGGTTCCAGTTTCACAACCGGTTGTCAGTTAGAGGCATTTGATATTGCGCTGAAACTAGAGGTAAAACACAACACAAACCAGCTCAAAGATAACAACTAGATAAAAGCAGCCATAAAAAATATAGGAAAAATGTATTCATACCAGCGTTGAGAAATGCATCACCTAAACCTCTATTACATGTTTGGTCTTCATTTGAGTCCAGACCATTGACTTGCTTATACTTTGTTTTCTTTTTGTCACTCAGATATCAGTTTCTTTGTCTGCTCCACCATTATCTAAAAAGAGTTATTATCAAGGCTCTCTCGATGGCTTCAGGAAAAAATTTAGCAGCATCTCACATCAAGCACACTTCATTCTGTCACTGATAACGCTCCTCATCCAATAGGTTCAATGATAACCTTAACCCTACTCTACTGCATCAGAAGTTCTTCGTCAAGCCTGGAATCAATCAATGCAAAAGTACAAATAGACTAATAGGCATCCAAATCCAAATACCATCCTGACCTACAACCCAAGATTTCTATTTACCATCAAACAACCCTGAACACTGATTTCCTGTTTCACAGCTGAAGTTTATAATGAGTTTTTCACTGGAAACATATTACAAATAAGGATGTGTCTCTCCCCCTCTGATCCCTCCTAGCCTGTACTTGCTGATGACCAAATCAAAAGATGATTTCTTGTGACCAAAAGATGGAAAAGTGTACAAATCAGACCAACATGTTAACGCTTCAGTTTGGCTGGTTTATTTGTGCACAAAGGACAGATCTGGTGCTGGGTACACCAAGTCTGTCACTGAATGACAGAACTTGAGCTGCTTATATCCTAACTTGATCAAGGCATGGTAATTATTATCTGTTAACCTCAAAACCTTTCTCTCAGTGTTTCACTTTTATTGCTTATATTGCTATAACTGGAAGTACATGCATCACTAAATCTCTGCAAGGATGTAGATAATCTTCTAAACACCAATATAACCATAAAACCCTTGATGTGTGACAGACTCCTTGGTATCCTGCTCCCCCAAAGGTCAGCAGCCTACCTAAAGTTCACATTCTTGACATTCTTAAACCAAAGTTACCAACATGCAACACAAATACAACCTTACACCAAACCACCAGCCAACCTTTACAGTTTGAATTAGTTAGTTTGACCACACTTTCTCAGATGTCCACTAGCTCCAAAACCAACCATATACATGTTCACGGTGGGTTTGAATCAGAAACCTACAAGATCTGCCAGATGGCCTTCCCATCTCTCACAAAAAAAAAACCCCATAAGGGTAAATATTGGCTAGACATGGAGTCACCACCAGAGGGAGGGAGAAGCCTTGTCATGATGATAAAATCAATACCACCTTTGGCTTCTTGCGGTCACCAAGCCCGTGGATCTCAAGTAAATGAACAGATAGGGTGACGAGGCTCATGAGATCAGTCTGATGTTTTATTCAACAAACGTCATGCATTATTTAATGCGTTGTTTGCCGTGTGACCGCAATGCCACCTACTGACCAGGGAGAGGTATGTCTATTGTTGGGACTCATCATTCAAGAGACAAGATGTTTCTTTGCTCCACTGGACAAAGGAACTCACACTCCACAGACTCCACAGTTCCTCACCTGGGGACGACCCTTCCCCCCACGGACCTTACTGGCCAGCCAGTGTGGGTCAGCGTGTGACATGTGAACCCCAAGGGTGTCACCAAACAAAACCAGATCTCTGGCCCTCTTGTTGTTCTTTTCTCTTCTTGGCTTGCTCTGGAGAGCAGCTCCAGCTCACTCCTCTCGGCTCTTCAAAGGGCGACAAGGCCCCAGCCCAGGTCAGCTCTGCTACCTGAGAAACCAGCTCTTTCGCCGGCCTGCTCACAGCAGACTGCAACACTCTTCTCCTCAACAGCAGCGACCTGCTTCGGATTAACTGTGAGAGAACCAAATCCTCTTCAGAATCAGCAGCTACAACACAAGGCCAGCTGATTTTCAAAGCAACAGGAGTCATAGCAGAGTTAGCGTGGAACAGCTAACTCTGTGTGGAGAACAAAGGAGATAACAGCAAAGCAACACAGCCAGACAGGACTTTACTCCACCAGGAAGCCTCCCAACTCACTGGACTGTACACCAACACTGGAAAGGACCTCTTTGCTTGTTCCAAGGACTGGGTAACGTTAACTGACTGGGCCTAACCTTTCCCAGCACAGCATAGCACAGCACAGCATAGCTAAGCAGCAGAAGTCTTAACTTTGTTAATGTACTTGTTGATTGATGTCTTGTTGTTGTAATGTTTGCTTAGGTTGTGGTCAGTCATCCAGTTAATTGAGTACTCGTATGTTCACACACATAGCAGTACGTCTCAGTTCTAGAACCTGCATGAAGCAGGATAGGATTGTACTTTATTACATTGTTTATCAAATTATTGTTGTTTAACGCCGGTTCATCTATTAACAGTGTTGAACATCATCTCGACAGTTCCTGACAGTCCTGTATACCACTATGAAAGTTTCCTTGATGTGCTGCATTGAGATTATTGTTAAACCATATGCTTTTCTTCATATTCTATGTAATATGCTCTCATGTGTCGAATCACTGTTGATTGACCATAGTATAGAAGCAAAGTAGAGTTTTCTGACACAACTTTACATACTTCCAAGGTTGGATGACCCTGATGAAGTACCATAAGCCAAAACGCATAGGTCTAAAATTTTGTGCTGCTGGAGTTTTCACCCCCCTCATTGACCCCCCTAATCAGTGGAAATATGTGATCTCATTGGCCCAGTTGTCTGCCCCATAATGTATGTCTGCTGTCAGTTCATAAAAGAGCTGACATCCCATAGTTCCTCCGCACTTCCAGCACTTTAACTCACTTCTTTTTTGCAGTTCTTCTTTTTAGTCTACTTTTGGTTCTTCTTGAGTTTTCTCCTTTTGGTTTTTGTCCTTCAAGATTTTCTGTTAACTGTTCACCAAACCTCTTTACCTTGTCTAGACTGGTCATCCTGCAACATTTTTTTTATTCTCTGTTAAGATTCATGCATTTTTATCTTTAGCTAAAACAAGCCACAGTTTGTAACTCAATAACAAACTGAATGAGTCTAAGTCTTTATAGTTGTAGTACTTCTGTAAGTCTTGCTTTGATAGTATTTGTCATCCGAACAACAAGATTACTTTCAAGACTATTCAACAAGTCTAGTTAAGGAAAGTGGGTGTAACAACCCTACCCTAACCTTAAGTCTAACCCAAATGGACCAACAAAAACCAGCAGAGGCTGAACCATCTACCAACTTCTGCCTGCTTGCAAGGATCGTCCTGAGCCTTAGAAATCGGTTTCATCCACCCTGGAGTGAGGTCGCCGGAGTGAGGTCGCCAGATCAGTTGAGCAGCCTCACTGGGAGAGTGGCAAGTTAAACTGGCACCAACCTCACCACTTTGGGCCCAACAAAAAAGGGATTCAGTTGTAAGAGGACACCGCAAAAATAGGTAAAAACCTTACTTCTGCTTTCTGTGATCAGAGTTGATGTTGAATAGATCTTTCTTAAATCTAAGTCCTAGAGCAGTACATCTCTTAGCGTTCAGCTGTTGACTGGTAACTCTGAATTACATTGTGTGTGTGTGTGTGTGTGTGTGTGTGTGTGTGTGTGTGTGTGTTTGTGTGTGTTAAGGCTTAAAATGTGGCTCTAAAAAAATTCATTTTTCCTGAACTTCTGCTACATAATGAATTCTCAATCAACACCACTTTCAAAAGTTGGATTTTAGTGTTCTTAAAGGCATTTTTCATTTTGTGTGATTGGGCATGAATTCAAAAATACCATTAGTACAGTTACTAAAGAGTCTGCAACTGATCCAAAGCTACATTCTTTCAGTCTCAGAGTTCACTGTTAGTCTGAATCATCTGTTCAGATAAGGTTAACCATTACCTGGAAGTGTAGCTGACCAACTGAAATACTGTCAACACTGCTGTCATGTTTGGTTAGAGCTGTAAACAGTTTTTGATGTTCTTTCGTCGTACTATCTGAATTGGCCATAAACACGTCTTCTTGACCCCTCACCCTCCCCCTGGATCATACTGGAGAGAGGCAGACTTTCTTTCCATATACATGCTCTTAAGTGGTGGAAGAAGATTATCTTTAGGTGTAAATACATGCAGAATTAAAAAATCTAACCATTTGTCCACGAGGGACTTGGTATTCTCATGGTATATCCATGTAATTGTGATCAGACGCCTAAAAGGGCACAGACTTTAACACAGTGAGTGCCGTACAGGAGATCTGCTTATGTGTCTCTGTACTGTAAGTAATGTGAAACTTCCAAAGTTCACTACATAACCGTCCGAGCTACGCATTAAGTCTCATAAAGAGTCTGACTCTCTCTGATGTGATTTTTATGGTTCTATTAGAGATATCAATCTTTATTGAGATCTTTCATCAGTGGCCTATTAACAGACTTCAGACTTTTTAATTGTACTATAAGGGGCCTTATCTGTGATCATTTATGGCAATGGGCAGCACTGATAAGGCCAATGCGTCTGTGAGTCTGGTGAACTTACCCCTCCGCTGACAGGACCAAAACTGTGTCCAGATTTATCAGGCTCCTCCAGATACAATGTGTAGAAATCTGGCCTGATGGGAAAGATGATCTTTACTGAGACTTGGCATTAAAATATGAAAACAAGAGAATTTTAACAGGTAAAATTCTGAAAATCAACCCAAATGATTTTAAATTCAATCAATGCAAACAGAATAAAATGAACCTGATTTAAATTTAACAGCAGTTTTGTGTGACCTTTCCTAAATTGAGTCGAAGAGGAACCAACCTTTCCTCATCTGGCAACTGCAACCATTTCAGCACAGTGAATACTCTTTCTTCAAATGGCACTTTACTAAAAAAAAGAATAGAAAAAAAAGAATAAAGGAGGAGGAGTAATCATTCTGTCTTTGAGAGGCACCAGGGACAATGACATTATTGAGCTCATTGTTAAATCTGCCAGTGTCCTCACTCTTCCAGGCAGTAGGATATTTTAACTAAGCAGTGTGAGATAAACATGGTATTAAAATAGAATTACCACATTTCAGTTGTTCTGCCAAGTTGCAGGAAATATGGTCACAGTCTCTTCTTCCTGAGTTACAGCATTGAATAATAGCCAGAAGAGTTTTTGCAGAACATTATGATGTCACAGTGAAGTTGACCTTTGACCTTTTTGGTGTATGGATATGTTACATCACTTAATTTTATCCTTATAGACATTTGAGTTAAATTGCATCATAATTACTGTATGAATTCTTTAGTTTTGGTCAAAAAAATGTGTTTTGTGAGGTCTCTGTGACTTTGACATTTGACTGTTGACCACCAAATTCTAATCAGTTCATTCATGAGTCCAAATGAATGTTTGTGCCATATATTAAGAAATTGCCTCAAGGCGTTACTGAGATATCACGAGAAGGGAACGGACAGACAAACTGAAAACAGTCCTTGACTATGGCATGATTGTTGTTTTGAATATTTCTGAAACTGCTGGTCTTCTGGATTTTTCCAGAATGGCGCAACAACAAAAAACATCCAGCAGCTCATGTTGATGAGAGAGGTCAGAGGAGAATGGACAGACACACAGATAACCACTCTTTACAGCTGTGGTGAGCAGGAAAGCTTCAGGGTGAACAACACGTCCAACCTACAACAGCAGAAGATCACGTCAGGTTCCACTTCCTGTCACCAAGAACAGAACCCTGAGGCTGCAGAGGACACAGACTCAACGAGACTGGATAGTTGAAAACCTGGTCTGATGGATCTGGATTTCTGCTGAAGCAGCAGATGGTAGAATCAAAATCTGGTATCAACAGCATGAATCCAAGGACCCAACCTGCCTTGTGTCAACAGTGCAGGCTGATGGTGGTGGTGTAATGGTGTGGGGAATATTTTTTTGGCACATATTGGGCTCTTAATACCAATCACTCATGTTTGAATGCTCCATGTCACAAACTGGTTTCATGAACACGACAGAGTCCAGTGAACTTCAGCAGCCTCCCTGGTCTGAATCCAGTAGAAAACCTTCTGGCTGCGGTAGAACAGAGAAGACATTGGCAGCTTGTGATGCAATCATGTCAACACGGAACAGTGTGACGGAGGAAAGTTTCCAAAATCTCCAGGCCCGGCCACGAAGAACTGAGGCTGTTTTTACAGAAAAGGGAGGAACTACACACGTAATCAGACTTCACTTCCAGTTTCTCCAGTAAATACTTTCACCTACTGTGAGAGTATCTGCTGTCAATATTTTCCAAACAGACAGTCAATACAATAGAGTGTCTGTAAAAAGGATATTCTGTATTTTTCTTATTGGCAACAAACCCCATGAAAAGACCAAAACCAAACAACTAACATGTACTGTGTTAGTATTATACCCTGATGTATCTTATTCTCTGTGCCATAGAGGTTCATTGGGTGAGCCACACTGTTGCACCAACATGTTCCTCTATCACCATGACCACACGCACTGTAGTTTATTTTGACTCTGACACACATTCCTGCTGCTGCAAATACTCACTAAAGCCACATTTAGGACAGGGAAGCCTCAGATTACTCCAGGAAAAATTAAATGCATTTAAGGAGGAGCCAATGGAGTTATGAGTTCAGTAAACTCCTTGGGGCATCCAGAATAGGAATGCAAAGATGGTAATCATGAATCATGATACCAAGACATGGCAGGGAGGAGTGTGACACAGTAATGTGCTTAGCGTCTGAGCTGGTAACATTTGTGCTCCGAAACCCACATCTACCCTCCCACGTAGCGATAGCAAACCATTCTCCTTGACTGTGTCACAAAATCAGTGGAGTGTAGAACTTTATCAGCTGAGATCCTGAGATTATTGCCTATTTATGGAAATAAACACTTTCATGGGACCATTTGCAAAATTATGGCATTATCAACCATTACCACTGCAGCACCAGTACACTGCACATGCACTCATATTACTTCACAGACTGCAATATGTCTCTCTGACTAAACGAATGATGAAAGTATTTTCTGAGGAAAAACACTAGGTTTGAAAAGCATTTACAGAAAGATATAGATTAATTACAAACACTAGTCTCAATGTGCTTTGGATGTTTTAGATTCATCTGAAGCTTTACTAAAAAGGTCCACCTTAGGTAATAATTCTGAACTATCTCTGTCAAAACTCTGTGGGATGATGATGATGAGAGATGCTGGACTCCAATGACTCAAAGGTTGGGAAATAAAAGTTTCCAACATTTGCAAAATGACTTTGTGATACTTCCAGATGTTGGGTTTTACTCAAGACAAACATGTCAGTATTTTATCTGTGAAGTTGGCTTGAGACGTACACATACAGTATGTTCTTTGGAATTGGTGTACAATCAGTGTCTATAATAACATGATACCTTAAAACTCACAGTCTTGTTCCTCAGCATGTTTCTGAAAAATACAAATGACAGTCCTACCCATTGTAAGGTTGGTAGATGTTTGGGAAACTGCCATTGATTTTGACGTCTGACCCTGGCCAGAAAAAAGTCCCAGACTTCAGCCCCTGGTACTTTGCTGTGTGCCAAACCTGAAGATACAAAGAGGAAATATGGGTTAATAAAGGTCAGAGTTTCTGATTATAAAATCTGCTTTTTACATATTGAATACATGAATTTCAACACTTACAACGCACCTACACTGAGGTAATCTTGTAATCTCTAACTCACTTTTCCCCTGAACTTCACCTTGAACTTATCAAACTGTATTTTATGAGAGCTGAAATTCAATCTATTTTTATATGCATGTACTGTTTTCTGTCTGCTTGTTCCAGTGAATGATTGGGTTAACATATCACTCTATCTAGTGAAATATTTAAAACGTTGTTTTTCATCAGTGCTACAGGAAAAGGAAACACTGTGCATCATCTTACAATATATCTAATTTCTGTGTGTCGTATTTGGTATCTTTGGAATTGATCACACCTAAGAAGGAGACTGTCCTCCTGTGAAAAACAAGCAGACAGGTAATTTGTTCAGCAGCTTATTTATGACCCATAGTTATTTTTTTTATATTTATACTGTTTTCTATTATCCATGACCGTTCATTGTTATGATTGTAACCATGACAACAAAGATCGTCTGATGTTGAGGAAGTACTTGTTGTAACCCAAATCATGATCTTTTCCTAAACCTAACCCAGTAGTTTTAATGCCTAAACCTAACCAAGCCATTACCGTTATTATAGTAACCACTGCAACGTTCGGACACAGTTGCGTGTTTATTATGATAACCATGACAACCGAGGTCTGGTAGGCATGGCGCCGTAGGGGTGCTATTTCAGGAGACACTCCTATGGGTCATATCAGAGGGTGGCTCCTGCTGTCGGTATGGGGTGCGAAATTAGGAAACACTCCTCTGGGTCGTAAATGAGATTAGAAACTAAAGAGTGATATGCTTGTATGGATTGGAGGACTTGTTGCTAAGAAGACTTACAGGTTGTCCGAGGTACCAGTCAGGGTTGTCTTTCTCTGGACTAGACAGACTGAAGGTGGCATCAAACACTGGGTCATACATGGTGTTGTCAATCAAACCATTTGACTCTGGATAGAGACCCTGAGAGTAGAGGGGAGAATTAGTGAAGACATTTATTGGAATTTCTCTACAAAACACACATATGAAAGTGAAAAGTTGCCAATGAGTCGCTGTTGATTTTTTATGGGGAGAAAATAGTTTTGGATGTTTGACAAAAAGAAGAATGATTCCAACAAGCTGTAACTCAGTGGGAGTACAGATTAATCACAGCTATTTCAGTTTGGAGAGATAGCGTACATGCAGACAACAGAGTGTATCCTGTTGATTTGGAAAAATATCCATAAGGTTTCACATATACCAGATTATTTCAACCTCTACAGCAACTGAAGCTGGTGGGAATCTTGTTTTTTTTCGGATTTGAGCGTGAATCAAAGTGTTGGATGGATTCAAATTTTGACCTGATCATGACATTAGATCAACAGACAAGGGGCCATACAATTTGTCCTGATGGGCTCATGTACCAAATTCTTATAACCTAGCTATCAAGACATTTCATCTAAAATGGTAAATGTTAAATGGACTAGAGGCGTATCCGAGGATCACCAAAGTCATTAGTATTCATCCCTACATGACTAAACAAAATTTCATGGCAGTTCATCCAATATATGTAGAAATATTGAAGTACTGGTATTGCTATCCCTGCTAACAGCATTGCTAAAAAAAAAAAAGGGTGGTAGCTTCAGGATGAGAGCAGCAACACAGAGTGGTTGAGCTGCATTGGCAAAAATTCCACAACAAGTTCATGTTTTTCCTTGCAGTCCTTAGTGTACTGCGCTGCAAATGTCTGCTGGCGAGCAGCTCTTTCAAACCCCTATAACTTGTAAACATCACACCAAAATGATTTTTTCACAAGTGCAACCATACAAGCATGAAAAGAACATACAGTCATGTCTGCATGGTGTCGGTTTCATGTGTGCATGATTGGCTCCATGTGAAGCAGGGAGGGCCTCATGTATTTACCGTAACAATTGCGTAGTGGTTAGGGAAGGTCTTGCTGGGAAATGCTGCCTGCATGTACGGAGCAGAGGTTCCACACGTCTCTTTGACGTAGACAAAAACAAAACACATTAGCGAACACTGAGCTGGAGAACATACCGGCCATTAAGGGCTTCTTTGTATCATTGCTTTACAAGTGGATTGGATAGATTCATTATTGTGTACATGGCAACTGACCCACACTAATCTCTCCTTCCCTCTCCCTCTCTCTCTCACACGCACACAATTAGACATCTAGTTTTCTCTCAGGATGTCAATGCTGAGTTTAAAGAGATGAACACTAACTGAGTTTGTCGAGCACAGGGATGAGAGTACTCCAGGTCTGCATGTATTCAGCCCTCAGTCCATCCAGCGAGATAAGGAGTAGCGGCTGCTGCTTAAAGCTACAAGGGGAAAAAATTAATTCCAGATGAGAATATTGAATCAACAGACCCATAAAAACAGATATACTGATGAGTTATAGATGCAGAGTAAACAAAGCAGTGTAAGAAATTCAGATTATGTACTCCAGACACTAATGTGTCCTGTGTCTTCTTTCAAAATGTAATAATCATATAACTAAAACAGGGAGTTTCACACATCTTTGTATCATCTAAAAACATTAAAGACATTAACTGACAAACGCCTGGATATCAGCTTTAAATACCTCCAATAAACAACTATTTTGCTGACTGTGAGGCTGTGAATGCCCTCCTCGCAAAATGCCTCAAACACATAAAAACCTGTTTTTTTTTCTAATTTTATTCTGAGAATAATAAATGGTGTGAGAAGATGGTGTGCGTAACACAATTATCAAACAAGAAATTCCTCGGAGATTAAAACAGACTTACAGACAGAAAACTAAGGATATCTTGAGCAAGTTCTCTCCGGTGAACATATTGCAATTCCAGATTCTCACAGTCCGTATCAGTACAAATTCTTACCCTGCTGGACATGTAGGGGACGACAGGTCCTCACACTCATCCTCCACCCACTCTCTCTCTCCTGTGGCAGAGTGGAAAACATGCAGAACTCATTGATGTTGATGCGATTTTTTAAAAAAAATGTAACACTGATATTGTGTTAATAATACACATGATAATATAGTGAGTCCAGATGTTAAACCCTGTGGATCTTTTGTTTATCAGTTCATCTTGTTGTCATTAAGTGTTATTGTTCTATTAAATACGCTTTTGTACAGACTGTCTCTCCACCTCCCTACACTCGTATTTGAGTGTAACTCATTTGAGAAAAAAGAGACAAAACACACAATAAACAATTGTGAATTATCGTGAATTCTTTTGGCCACAATAATTGATATCATAACGATTAAAGTAACATGTATTAAATATACTGTATGTCCACTGGCAGTCAAACATTTTCAAACTTCTGATATCTTTGCATCTATCGGCTCAATTTTGGATTAATATTTCAAGCAATCAAGAGGGCTTGGATAGGATAGGATCTTCAGCTCGAATGAGGATTTCAGCCAACAGCAGCACATGAGAAATGCCACTAAAATCAAACTGCGTTCAACCTAAGCTGGCTCTCCATTTGTTCGTGTAAAGAGAATTTTAATAGCCTGAGAGCAGTGTGTCACAAAAACAAGTATCAGAAATAAAGCAGGCTTCCAATGTACCAATGAAAAAAATGCCTTTCTCATCCTCAGCCTGCGTGAGAGGTCCCTACGCTTAGAACCAATCTTTAAGATATAAACTGTTTATTTCGTATTTGGACTAGATACAACAAATAGTCACAAGCATGTCACAGTTCACCTAAATAACCTACATGTTGCATACAGGAGGTTATGTAACACAAACATTGTTTCTGATAGTTTATATACCGCCCAACCTTGTCTTATCTGAATTGGTTATCGTCTACTCATTCTCGCACATTTTGTCTAATGAAATCTACTCATATCTTATCTTTGCTTGTCCTCACCATGGCAGACATTTTTGTAGTTTGTGCAGCAGTCTCCTGCAGACAGGCAGTCATCGGAGCAGTGACATCTGCTCTGCATGAGCCTCTTCTCTCCACAACGGAGTTTTGTGCAGTCCCACTGCTCAGCTGAAGGGAACAATTAGGGAGTTTAGGCACAAAGCTCTAGCATCGTAAAATCTTTTTAACTTTGCTCTTTAATGCCCTGAACTATGCTGAACGTCACTAGCCAGGAGGGTGCATGTGTGGTTCTAATGATGTCTCACCTGGAACAGTGCAGATGTCATGGTAGTCATTGCAGCAGCTGCTGCTAGCGATGCAGCTCTCGTCACATCTGCAGCCGGGGATCTCGTCATCATAGGGCTCATAGCATCGATTTCTGCAGGATGTGTGTGGGATGACTGGAAGAGACCAGACCTTTTTAACATGTTTATTTACCAATCTCCCCTCTGTTATGTGATCACTGCAGTTTGTTGATGTTAAATATTTTCATCATCACAGCTTAACAATATAGCTTAGAGGATGGTTGCAACAAGTCTTAGTCCTTCAATTGGAGACATGCTACAGTGATGACACTCATACTGCACATGCTGCCTTAGAAACCTCTCCCTACCAGGAAGACAGAAGACACATTCAACATCTGCTGCTGCATTTATTTAAAAGATTGTTTTTGAGGTATGAAAGTCAAACTTTCCTGGCCTTTAGCATGAATGAATCAAAACCAACTTCTTTGAGTCATTGTTTTGTTCACTTCTGTGTCATGGTTGGCATGTGTCAAGGTCAGCATTTCTAGCTAACACATGATCTGTCAGGAGACAGTTACAACAGGTCACTGTAACGTTCCCTAAGTTCAGCAGCCAAATCAACACAGACCACAGAACAGTATTTTTCAATATTTTTAGTTCAAAATAGGCAAAATATGCAGCTAATTCAGTCCCATAACACAACAGATGCAACAATAATTGCTAATTTTATCATGTAAGAGATTACAAACGAGTTATTTTGTGAATCATTTTGCCAGCCTGTCATGATCTTATAATAAATTTGCCTGTTCTGTTCATCATAAGCAATAAAATAAATTAATTAATAAATTAAATAAATGTGCATATTTTGACTCAAGGTAGGTTCTATGTTCCATGCAAAACAAAACTCAATAACTGTTCTTTGATATTATTAAATAAATAAATAATACTATAATATTATTGTATAAGTAAGTAATACAACAACATTATTAGTGTGTGTGTGTGTGTGTGTGTGTGTGTGTGTGTGTGTGTGTGTGTGTGTGTGTGTGTCTGTGTGTGTGTGTGTGTGTGTGTGTGTGTGTGTATGTGTGTATGTGTGTGTGGGACTGATGACTCTTATTTTTATTTATCATTCTTATTGTGAACAGAATTTACCTTATGGGTACAAATAAAGTAATCAGAACCTGGACCTTCTTCCATTCAAATAAATATTGTGAATGATGTGTTATATGTAGATTCACAGATACAAGTTTAATATAAACGTTTGGTGGGTCTAGTGCAAATAGTCTCCGAGTAACTGAGAGAAATGCAAGTGTTGCAACTATCCCCAGTCTTCTCTTTAAACTAGGAAGGAATATTAGGGATGAGAAGGAAAAAAAAGGAAATTTTCTTTTTCATCATGCACTTCGCTCCACCTTTAATCAACAAACTTCAGTCTCTAATCTACCGAAACCGTCTGTGTGGTTTCGGCGCAAAAAGATAAATATGTTGTCGACGTGCTCATTTTTCTGTGCCTCTGTCAGCGCGCAGTCGCTCCAGGCATCCTGCCAAGCGCGCAGTGGAAGAGATGAAGTAGTCTGCACACGCTGCCACAACGCGTTGGGACTCAGACGCCGCGCCCACCTGAGCGCCACACCTTCAGGATCAAACAACTTGATCAGTTGTCTTATTGTGTCTTGTGATACAACATTTCTCCTCTGAATTGCACGCAGGTGTAACCATCGATATATCGTTGCATTTGTCCATCAACCGCTATTTCAAGTCTGCACGCAAGCTTGTGTGGGTTTTCTTTTTCGGCACAGTCGCTTCAAAGTCCTAATGCTGACAACCACACTGTGTTTATGAGGCAAAAGAGAAAGAATTTCTTTGTTGCTAAAGCCGATTCTGAAGTACAATTCCACGGCATTTTTTAGAGGCAGTCATAGTTTGTCATCTGATTGATATCGTCTCAAAAGATACACTTTAATCTCGAAATGCCAAGTTTATTGTTGACATTTCGACTTCATTGTCGAAAGACAAATGAAGATAAAATTATTCCTCTTCTGACTCAGTTCGACGTAATTCTCGACATTTCGACTTTTTTTCTCGAAGTGCATGATGAAAAAAAAATCTTTCTCCTCTCTTTTTTTTTCTCATCCATGGCCCTACTCCTCCTTCGTAAATGTATTACTTTATTTTTCAATTACATTATTTGCAATTACAGTTTTATTTTAGCAATATTATGACTTAGGTATATTCAAATTTTCTGAAAATATTTTAATTTTTAAAAAAAAAAATCGAATACTCTCAAAATATTACACTTTTTTTTCATGGAATAAAAATGATCATGAAATAACAAGTTCTCAAAATTGCTGCTCTATTCTAGTGATTTTATGACTTAAGCAATTTCTTTTTCCCTGGAATACACATTATTTAATTGAAAATAAGGAACTCAAAATATGTCAGAACTTTTCTTGAAATTCCATTTTTCTCATTATATTATGATTCATTTCTTCAAAAGTACAACTTTAAACTGGTAATGTTACAGTTTATATATTGCCATTTCTGAAAAATAATATTTCTTTATTATTCGTATCATTATTATTTTATATTTATTTAACTCAACTTAAGCTCTAAAGACTTAAACTTATCAAAATGTGCAATTTCATTCTTTTAATTTTGTTATCATTCCATTCTCATAGCAGTGTGACTTTTTCTTAAAAATATAATGGCTTTTTTTGTTATGTTTCAGTGGAGATTCACAGGCATGCTCATGGATAACATTTCAAGTTGTAACTATCATGTGATCTCACATGAAATTCCTGTCAGTTATCAAGGTGTGAATCACTTGCAGAGGCAAACTGAAGAGGAAGCTTTCAAGCCTTGTTGGAATAAGGACAACACGACTCGCAATGATGAAGCAGATTCCTTTACTTTTGACTTGCTTCTACAAGACGAGAAGTCGATGATGATCTATGTTATACTACAATTGGGATGAAACAGGTTTAACTCTGAGCTTGTAACATAAACAAAGCATGACCATGAGTGCCATCAATATATTCATACATCCGTGGCTCACAGAAACGCCTCCACCACATTAGTACAACAGAGGCAGCAACACTTACGTCCATTAATATTCTCCCATTTATCCCATTCATAATCCACAAACCTCATGGAAGACAGTTTGCTATTTTTTCAATAAAAAGCCGTTCCATTGAAATCTATATCTGAGATAATTTGCTGTGATTTCTGAAATGCAGATTTCCACCTGGGCATTCATTGTCATTAATATTTGGCTACTTGCGATTCCAAAATAAAATAACGCAGCATCACTCGCAGAAAAAACACAATGACTGCTGCTCTGTCGATATGTCCACTAATTTTCCCAAATGGTCCTCTACAGGTCCCACAGGAGAGTTTCCTCATCGAAGAACTGATATCGAACAAGGGCATTATGGCCAGGAACGAGATTATCAGCCTCTCACCACACCTACAGTAATGAGTTGTGACAATCCGATGTACACAATCATGTTTCCATGGCCCCTGGAGCCCAGTTGCACACTCTTAGTCACCCATCTACATAAAACTAGTCATCACTTGTTGACTTCTACTCTAGCTTTACTCGTCCACATGGCCAGTACACCTAATGAAAAACCTGACCAAAAAGCCACAAAATACAAATGATCAGCTGAATTATATAGTCATAGACTAAGCACACTCTCCCATGTCATATGCTGCTCAAGTGATTCACTCGTGTGTCTGACACTGTATGACACTGTGTTGAGTAAAGCTTCGAACACATGCGCAGCTGACGAGCTAGCTTTGTCTCCTCCCGTGAGTTATATGAAGCAGGATGTGTCGAGTAAGAAAAGAGGTTTTTTGTTTGAGTAGGTTTTTGTGAAAATGGGAAGTTCCCATTATATGTCATGGCATCTCTAAAGACATGTTGCTCATCATAAATTTTCTACTCTACTTTAGTTACATCTGGTGGCAACTTTAGGAAGCCACAACATCACCAAACAAATCTCTTTTTTTATCATATATTGTAATGATATTCAGTTTCAACATCAAGCTAGTTCAGCGTCAGAGCTGATATCAGGGATGGGAGTTTGGGTTGTGGCAGAAAATCATAAAAACATTTAGTGTATGCACCAAACTGAATGCCTCGCATTTCACAGAGGTTTCATGTGTTGATTTTAAGGTCCCATATTGTATAAATGAGATTCCCATGTCTTCTTTGATTATAAAGCAGGTCCAGTTTCTATATTAATACTGTGAAAGTATCAAAGAGCTCAGTCCACAGAGAAATGCACCTGTATTCAGGAACTGAGCATTAAAACCAGCCGTCAGGACTTCTGTAACTTTGTGATGTCACAACAAAGCAGTCACTATCCTCAGCCATGCCGTAAGCCCGGACCCACCATGTACCTTGCAGGATTTGGTTTCTGTGAGTGTTTACCTGAAATCTGCTATATTTTTATACAATCACTCAGAAAACACTGAGCTGTTGTTACTATGGCTCCAGAGAGAAGCCTTTAAAAACTTTAAATAAAACACCAGAAAAGTGACAACTATAGGACCATTAATGCTTGTATAAACTGACAAACAGCTGTCAGGGCAGGACACAAAAGAGCGAACACTGCTGTTTACTGTTTGTAGCCAATATAGATGTCACAACAGTTTAAACTGACATTCACTTACCAGTGAAATGTGATTAATAACATGTTTCATACCACAAGTTGTTCACAGAGGAGTCAGTCCCTTTAAAACTGTGAATAAAATGCCTAATTTGTCTGACTATCTGTTTGAATTCCTTGAGCCTGACTTGACTACCTGCAAAAGTATGACATACTATATGCGTCATTGCAAATGAAGCACATGGAGTTTTCCATTGTTTGGTGATTAAAACCCAGATTTTGGCATGACAGTGAATACAGCTGAGTCACCAAGTATGAGAGGGTCGTACAGAGGGGAGACGTGCATGGCGGTCAAGCGCATTAGTCAGGATAAACAAGCTGTTTTGAAATGAGATGACAGTGTGTTTTAATGTGAGCAAGTAGGAACATGTATGCATGTGTGTGGGGTATCTGACAGCACCTTTATTTTGACATTTCTTCAAATCCAATCCAAGACCGAGTCCAAGACCAAGGATTAAGGTAACAATTGACACAGCCAAGATACCAATCTGTGATGAACACACACACACACACACACACACATACACACACACACACACACACACACACACACACACACACACACACACACACACACACACACACACACAAGACAAAAATAGATTTACTCAGAGTGTGTTCTGACACAAATGCAACTTTTTACAACAGTTAGTTCCGACCAAGTAATTATGATTGGACGAGAGTCATTCCATGAGCGCTGATATAAAGTATAGCAGCACTGGGACTTTTAACTACATGTATCACTCCGCTTTACAGGTGTTCTATTAACAGTTAATTAGCGTTACATTAACGGTTGTTATCTTTCTTAGATTGTAACAAACTTTGCAATATTTCCAGAAATAACATTTGAATGAAATGATGTCTGGTCGTCAGAAGAGGATGAAGGGAAGAAGTCTGGATACTATAGCGCACACCCCCAGGTGCACTCATACATCAGGTCAGGAAAATGTTTATGTGTTGCTTAGCAATAGTCAAGTTCCAGTCTAGTTAAAGAAGTAATTGTGTTTGCGTAGCCTAATAAATGATGAAAGAAACAAACAAATCATAATCTGTTGTTGCTTATTACCGTTAACTAATATGGTGCGCATAGAACTGTTGTATAAAAGCAATATCACACTTGAGGTAATGATGTACTGAAAATCAGCAAGGCTGTGATTCAGTTGTGGGTACAAGGCTGAAGAGTACTGAAGACAGTCACAGCTGTGCTGATATTCAGCACAACACTCCCACTGGGAGTATTCTGCAGACTAATCTTTATCTTACAAGATGAGACACGTTTTGTTAACCAAAACAACTGAAGAGTTTTCTCTTAGTCTGTCACACAGACAAAACAAACACAACTGAAGGTACAGAGAGATCAGAGAGATTTAGAGGTGACTGAGTTTTCTAGGATTTGTTGAGCAGCAAAGGAGTTATAATAAGAAAAGCAGTGTGTCTGAAACCAGCAACTTTCTCATTGAATTAAAAGAAAAACATGTTGTGTTACATAACACACTCCACAGTCCAACTGCAGTGCAAAGCAGCTTGTGACATGTCTTTCACATTCCTGTGCAGTTACAACACATCACTACTGATGCTCTTATAGTAACTTTTATTTATACAGCACCTTTACAAAGAAGTGTGTTGACAATCAAAGCAAAGTATTAATAGACAAAAGGCTCAAAAGGCAATATAAAAAACAGAGCCGGATAGTAAGGCTAACTTAAGGTAAAGTTAACCAACCAATGCTAATGATCTTGCTGTGGAGCTAATTTAGTCTCGAGCTGATCCAGGAAATAAAACTGCAAGAAAGAATCATTATATGTGGTTTATTACTGTAAGAGTGACACACATACATTGTCACTCAATATGCTTTTTTGTGATTTGTGATAAAATGCTATATGAATAATTCTTACCTTATGCTGTCTAATTGTATTCAAAAGCATATATCAGTGAATGCCCACTTAAATTACACCTATGACCATGGGAATCCATTGTTAATTCAAAGAGTCTGCCAGGGTTTGGGTTCCTGCATTATTTTGTAATAGTCAATATCCATATTTAAAAGCATGAAGGAAGAGCTCCTGAAAAAAAGAGCAGTGCTGTCATCCATACCTCCACAGATAAGTAAAGATAAAATACTACACACAGCTTGCATTCAATTAAACTCCTAAATGTAAATTCAGTGTAAAAAAAAAAAACAAAACCAATGTGAGACCTCAGCCTGTGCAATGTGGCTGCCCCCCATTACAACCAATTCAGAACCAGAATAGGTACTTACAATGATTTTCTTTTTCTGGGACTCCTTCACCCAACCCATGGCTACCATGAATGTGTCAGTCTCACACGCTCTCACAGAGAAATCACAGCAGTGACCTCTGGACCAGGTGTGAGCAGCAGATAAGTGACTGTAAAGAACAGTTAAGACTGAGGAGATAACCCCACGTTTCTGTGTTTTCAGTCTGTCAGGCTGCAGGTGGTGATCCCTCAGACACCGTCTAACTCTAGAAATCCACCCGATACACGTGAGACAAAAAAAGGTAGCAAGGTGCGGGCAATGATTGATTATAACATCAGGAATACACTCAACATACACCAAACAGAGTACACAGATTCAAACCGTCATTGTGAGTGTCTGATTGCTGTGAACATCAATAGCAGCTGAAAACCTGGAGATATTTATTAGTTTATTTGAAAAGTACTAAGGTCATCTGCAGCTGTGGTACAACTGCAGCCAGTAATGGATTGTTAATGATGTGGAGATAATGTTGACTCATACCTTGCTTCCAGTAACTGGGAATTTGCTGAATCAAAGCGGTCGTGTCAGGTATCATCAACAACCTTGAGCTTGGAACTATGACAAAGAGCTTCACTTGATAAGATCTGATTATGTTTCCAATTATGAAAAATCAGGGCCAATGCACCAATGCACCAACGCACCAATAAAAGACTTCCTTTAGCCGTCACTGCAATAGAGTGAAGTAGAATAACATGATGCTGGTAGCACCTCGTGCCTGTCATATGGACGGTGGTCTGAGTGTTGGAGCTACACAACACTTCTTATAGAGTCTGGCAGGTGTCAGTGGTTTTCATCAACCAAAAACCAATTGTGCATACAAATCACCGACCCATACTCTCAAATTAATAATCTGTTGTCAGTCCCTTTGTCTCAGCCCCCTTGTTGGGAGTTTCTTCTCCCTCTCTCTCTCTCTGTGCCTTCATCCCAATTCAGGGGCCGCATCCATTGAAGAACAGGATATAAGAGCCGTCGCAGATCACGAAGGCTGAACCAAGATGAGATGGTCTGGGGCCGCTTTCACAAACATAGTACTTGCTAGACCAAACAAGTCAAACAAAATCAGACTTCAGATAAACGTCTAAATTCATCCGTTGCACAAAGCAAAGTTTTTGACTATCTTAAACTGGACTGTGGTACAATAAATTCTGGGTAAAAACTCTTTCCCTTCTCATCAATCTCTCCATAGCAATGTTATCAAACCACAAATTATGAGCTATATTTGCCTGTTTTCTGTTATTGGGAGCTATTGGTCATCGCAAGTGTCATTGACCCTTTCCATTCTCCTAGAATGTTTCCTCACTCTTCTCCTGCAGTTCTGGAAGTTGGCTGGAAGTTGGAGCTGGGAGGGTGGCTAGTTAATACCTGCCCATTTTGGTAGGGCCTCCCAAAAGGCATAAAGGTCCGCCCCGTAGTCTCTGAGCCAGTCGGTAACAAATGGGGGCTCATCCAGGACTGTCTTTTTTCAGCAGCATGCTGAAAGTTAACGGGGTTGCTGCGGGGTTGAGTGAGTCAGCTAGTAATCGTTAGGCAGTTAGCCAGAGGGGTATTTTTCCATATTTAAAGCAGCCTGTTAAAACTGTTGTGTAGTGGTGGAAAATTTTGTCTTGGTTTGTAGTCTTGGCCTATTTGTGGTGGATTGATTATAGTGTTTAGCTGATGCTCGAAACTGGTCTGATGCTGAGCGTACCCTACTGCTCCAATGTGTGTTCACTGGTAAAGCCCAGGAAGCTTTTTCAGTCTTGAGTGCTACGGGAAGTGGTAGCTATCAGTTGGTTAAAGCTGCTGTACTTAAGGTATATGAACTGGTACCTGAAGCGTATCGTCAGCGGTTCAGATTTCTTAGGAAAGAGAAGCAGTTCTACATGGAATTTGCTTGCGATTTATCCACTCATTTCAGCCGTTGGTGTGTTGCTTCTGAGGTCCAAACCTTAGGAGAATTGCAGTAAATAATTTAGCTTGAGCAGTTTAACAATACTGTACTTGATCGTGTTGTTACTTACATCAATGAACAGAAAGTAAGCAAGGTTTCTAATGCTGCCAAACTGGCCGATGAGTTTGTCTTGACCCATAAAAGTTTTTTGTTGAGAAAAAAAGTTTTTTTGGTGAGAGCCGGGGTCGTGAAGATGGTGGCAGCAGGGAGAGCATTGTGGGAGCTTTTCCCACCAAGTCTTTGTCGGAAGTGACAGATAGGTTTTCAGCTAAAGCAGGTTACAGTTTACGGGGTAAGCTGGACCCTAACCGTGTTTGTGACTATTGCTTTGGTAAGGGACACTGGAGAAATGAGTGTCCAGCGTTGAAGAAAAAATTGACTGGCTATGTACCCACAAAACCCTCTGGGGCTGCTGTGTCTTTTCGTGCAGAGGAAAGAGGCCGTGCCTTTGCTGCTGTGCAGGCACACACAAAGCCTTTTTCCTCAGAGTTGGTGTTTGAGGTTCCAGTTGTGAAACAGGAACGGCCAAATTTTTCAGCTAAGGATGAGATTGACCCTGGTTATGCTGCATTTGTGTCGGATGGTTATGTCTCACGGGTTGGGAGTGGTAGGAAAGTGCCTGTAAAGATTTTAAGGGATTCAGGGACACTGGACTCATTTATTGTGGACTCTGTGTTACCCTTTTCTCCAGAGACAGACACTGGTTCCTGTGTTGATGTTCAGGGAATGGGTTTGAATGTTTTCTCAGTTCCCCAGCATAAACTGACTTTTTCAGATCTGGTGCAAGGTGATGTGGCCATGGGAGGCCGCCCTTCCTTGCCTATGGGGGGGCGTACCGGTCATCTTAGGAAATGACCTGGCTGGCGATCGAGTGTGGCCTGCTGTATCTGCACCTATGGATGCCCCAACTTCTCAGGGAGAAGGTTTTGATGCAGTGTTGGTGGTAGTCCACGTTTTGACAGTTCAAACAAGAGAGTCTGTGTTTCCTGTGACTGCTTTTCCTTTGCCTCACAGTGATCTTGTGAAAGAGCAAAAAGCTGATCCCACTCTTCTGGCACTGTACAGCCAGGTTTTACCAGAGGGCGAGGCAGAGAGTGCAGTCCATGGTTACTTTCTCCAAGACGACCTGTTGGTGAGAAAATGGGTTCTCCAGGGGGACTGTTTTTTATGGCATGAGGTTGTGCAAATAGTTCTGCCTTTTTCATTGTGTCAAACTGTCCTTCAGATTGCTCATGATGGTGTTGCAGGCCATTTAGATATAGGCATAAAGGTCCGCCCCTCAGGTAGTCTCTGTCTCTCTCAGCTGGCCACTACAGCCTGTTTCTCTCTTTGTTTGGTTTGTTGCATCTTACAACATACATTACACCATATTTTCACTCATCCACACACCTCTGACATGACTGAAGACTTTCTTACTCATACACCCGATTTGGTTGGTTACTTTGTTTATTCATTTGAGTTAAATAAATCGTTTCTTGATTGAAGTGTGCGGCCTCCCTTTTTGTTGCTGGCCCTTGAGCCAGTCGGTAACACTGAGGAAAAGTACCTGGAACATATGTACTCCTTTCATCTTCATGCCACCTTTTTGTGTTTTTTGTCCGTCCTCTGCGTTCACCTGCAGCTGTGAGGTTTGTTATATTTTACTAACTGCTTGCTTAATTTCTTAAATCATTGTTACATTTTGCGTGTTAATTTAATAAAACTTTGTACTGCCTCTCCCTCGTGTGGGAACAGAGAGTGATTGTATGTGGCAGGAAGTGATTTTGTAAAAAATGATCTGGATATTTGGTCAATATTTAAGTCACGGTTTCCAAACCATGACCATAACAGGTTGGGATCTGTTTTACAGTGGATGATGACAGAAACACAGAAAATGAGGAGGTGTATATAAACAAGCCACATTACAGTGCGGTATGGTGGCGAGGTACAGTGGTTATCAGGACACTTTGTGGTTCACATCATAAAAAGCACTTGCGTAACAGCACTGATTACTCTGTAAATTCCAAGTTACCTCAAATAGCCCACAGATACAAACAAGTGTCCTTGATTGAAATCATCTGCTCTGGATTTCATTGTCTCAAAGAGAGCAACAGTACACAACGCTCTTTTGAGTGAGTGAATCCATCATTCATCATTCCAATCATTCTCAGTTGGATTGGGCGTACAAATATCCCATCACTTCTTTCCACTGCACAGAAATTGATATTGAATTGTAAAATAAGGCTGGTATCTTTTATTAGGATTAATAAGTAGTAAGGTTTTGTGACATGATTACTGCACTTCTTTATGTACTTATGTGCTTATTTATAGGTGGTTCTAAATGTTATTTCTACAAGCTTGTTAAATGATTGGTTTTCTGCTGATGGAGGAAATGATTGAGAAAAATTCAGCTCAACTATTTGATTGTGCATTTCCTTATAATGAGGATTTTAGTGTAAGAATAACTGCAGGCTCTGACTCTCATACAGGTCGCACATTAAGAGCTTGCCACAAAATGTAACTTCCACTCTTGTAGTGGTTTTACAGAATGACAGCCATGACAGATGATGTCCTCAAAGCCATCAGGATTGGTTAAGATTTTGCATACTTGCCTGAGAATGTTTAAACATGACCATATTGACCATACAGAAGTTAAACAGCACAATCATGCATCCAGAAAATAGTTCATTCATAGGAGTTTGACAGATTGTATGAGTTAAATTGTTCTGTCTGTGTAATGCAAAATGTGCAGTGTTTTGTGTTCTGTACAATCCCTGATGAAAACTATAATGACATGTTGGACTGACTAAGGATGACAGAAATGCTTTTGATTACAATAACGCACCCACACAAAAACTCAAATAACATGCTTCTCAAATATAAAGGCATCTCCTTTTGAATCACTCACTGTTGGGACTCATCATTCAAGAGACCAGATGTTTCTTTGCTCCACTGGACAAAGGAACTCACACTCCACAGTTCCTCACCGTTCACACCTGGGGACGACCCTTCCCCCCCACGGACCTTACTGGCCAGCCAGCGTGGGTCAGCGTGTGACATGTGACCCCCAAGGGTGTCACCAAACAAAACCAGACCTCTTGCCCTCTCTTCTCTCTCTCTACTCTTCTCGGCTTGCTCTGGAGAGCAGCTCCAGCTCTCTCCTCTCGGCTCCTCAAAGGGGAACAAGGCCCCAGCCCAGGTCAGCCCTGCTACCTGAGAAACCAGCTCTCTCGCCGGCCACAGTGATCACTTTGAATCGGCCATCTTGCCTTTGTTTGTGTCCCCACAGACACACACGCATACACACACCTATATATACTAGATTAGACATTGTGTTTTACTCTGCTCCATTGTAAATAAAGTATAACTACTGGTGTGTTTAATGTTGCACAAGCGTGAATATTGCCAACCTCTACTTGGTAGAATTCCAATCCTTCAACTTTAACTTACTGTTGATTTGGTAATTTGGTTATAGTTAGTAAGCTAATGGTTAATCAGAGTTCCAGATTCATGGTAATAAATTGAGACTGAAACCATATTGGCTATTTTGCCTATTAGTTTAGGCTGGTGCCCCGAGGACTTTAATTAATTTTAAAGTTATTTAATATTAATATTTTTAATATTAATATTTTTCTTAATTTATGATAGCCAATAAATTGATAGACAACCGAAATCCAACATATTTGGTGTCCAGCTCATGAGGTAGAGCTCAGACCCAACACTCAGTTACCATTCAAGCACTGACATGGAGCTCAGCTTCTGCACATTTACAAAGTCGCATGTGAAGAAGAAGACAGGAAGTTTATTCTGCTAGAAACCACAACACTGGGCTGCGTTCAAAGCCAACAATGGACTGTGATGAATCGATGAGCTGGACATGTGAACACCTCACTCATGACTGGTTGCTCAGGGGCAATGCTGCTCAAATAAATTTGTTCCAGTCAGTTTTTAGTTCTCTATGGCTTTTATTGGAAAGACTACAGATATAAACAAGTCTCCTTCTACAGTTTGGCAAGCTCCTAGGTCATTTCATTGATAATTTTTCTTTGTTCTACCAATTACGGTGACAAACAGCTGTGTTAATGCGTCAGTTTAACATCACGAAAGTAAATGCCAAACTGTCTGATTTTATTAAAAACATGTGAAGCGGGGAGTCAGATGAGGAGATGAGCTTAAGGCAGTAGCTTTTGCTAGGCTTGAGTCATTTTGCAAAAACACAGGAGAGCGAGTGATCATCCATCATATCGCAAAGCTGGACTGGAAAAGACTCATAACTTCTTCCCACAGAAGGAGTTTGATCTTTAGAGTCTGTCTGTGAGTCAGCACCTCTCTAAAACCTCTGTAGTTTTCCATAACTGTTTATTGACTACTTCTCACAGTTAGGCACGTGTAGCACACAGATTTGCAGAGACACAGATGATTATGTTAAACATTTTAGAAATATTAAGCATCAATTTCACTTCAAAATACTGTGAGCGGTTGTGGGTTTAAAACCGGACATGTTTCTAAGCCTGCCTCACACTGATAAACCTCTCCACAACAACGTTGCTGAGTAAAACGTTTTCATGCCAACAGTATAAAAATATGACCAGATTTCAACCTAAATCATTTTTCTTTACAGCAGCATCGGTCTTGTCACCTCCTTGGGGAAAAAAAGCACAATATCAGTTGTCTGTTTCTATCTTATTACAGCAAACAGGGACAGATCTGTTACACTGGATTAATGCTTTGACACTAGGTGCTGTTATTATTATGATGCTACATAATAAATATGAAAAATTGTATAAAAATATACACCTAGATGATCAGCTGAGACAGAGGGAGGGAAAGAAATGAGAGCAACAGAGATGCGGAAATGTGTTGCTGTGTGTGTGTTTGTGTACATGTGTGCGCACCAGGGTTAGAAATTAACTGCTATTTATATGACTTGTATTTTTAGGTTTTTTCTGTTCTTCATGAGGAAAAAATTTCCATTTGGACAATTGACATCTGTCTGCTACCCACTGCTGGAAAATGACAGCAAGCCAAAAAAAACAAACAAAACAAGAAGGAGCTGTTCTAGAAATCCACTCTTGACATGTTTAAGTTTCGCCATCTCGCTTAATTTATGTGTCCTTGACGCACTGGTCTGTATTGGTCAATACATTTCTCTGTGTCCGATTGTATGGTATTAACGTTTTGTACGAGTTCAGGCCACACAGTCACACCACATTATTTTCACAACAAGAGATCAATTCAGAATAAACTGTAAATGCTGACCAATCATACCTGTGGTAACACCCAGAGGCCACTCATCAGACTGTATATTTTTGTGGAAAACATCTAAGATTCTCCTAGGAGATCCACACAAAACAGCTATGTTTTTGAATTCTGTGATCAAGGCCTTGTATTTCTTGAAATTTCTCTGGATATTTTCTGACCATGGTGTTTACATTGCGACAGATGTGGAGCTTAGCACAAACACTGGAAACCGAGGGAAACAACTAGCCTGTCTCTGTGAGAAGGTAACAACATCTACCTATACCAGCACATCTAAAGTCAAACAAGCATGATATGAGCTTTAGAGGTGCTGGCAGGCAGATTTTGTTGCCTTTGGACAAAGCCAGGCTAACTGTTTTTCTGTTTCCAGTCTTTATGCTAAGTGGCTGCTGACTCACTGAGAGCGGTGTCGAACTCATCTAACTCTCATTATGAAAGAGAGTAAGTGTATTTCCCAAAATTTCAAATTGTTCCTTTATAGAAACACACCAGCAATTTTGTGAGTTTTAACCTTTTAACTACAAATGAATAACCCTTCTTTTCAGGCAGCAAATGGCTTCAACTTATCTCCATACATCACAAAAATCTAATTTGAAGGTTGGTTTGAAAAGTCCTCACTGTAGACCTCGCAATGATGATTCCTTGTGATCTATGAAGCTAAAGCAAGTTTCAACAGTCGACTAATTGATCTTTATAAGTAAGAAAGGACATATTTTTTTTATTCCACAAGGAAGGGTCAGTAGGGATATGATGTATACATCATTTATAGTTATGGAGCTGAAACACTGGTATGGTCCTTTATGTGTGCATGAGGATGTACTGTATATACTATAAAATTGTGGTGGCAGCTGTTAGAAAAGTCCCTCATCCTGCATCATTGCTGTGCTAGCTTATTCTTTCTCAGATTTCATGGACAGTATTGGATATTCCCGTTTTAATCGTCAGACTACTACTTGCCTAACCATTCTTTTAATCTTTTCAAATTTCAAAAATGCGCTCCCCTTCCCAAGCGCTTCCTGGCAGTTCCTCAGGAGTGGAACAACGACACGCTGGCTGTCCAGCGTGCATGTGGTGAAAATGCAGGACTTCTACAAACAGCTACATCCTGTATGTGTGTGTCTGTCTCTCTGTGTGTCTAGTCGTCACTCTCAAAGGTGTGCAGGCGGGTTTTGAGGCTCAGGGTGCTCGTGTATGTGAGATTGGTGGATCTGTAGAGGTCCAGGCCCGTCAGGATCTCTACATCTCGAACTCGGGCTGTATGGAGCTTTAGCAGGTCTTCAACCCACTGTGACTCATCCTCGGCGCTCTGCAGAGACACGGACAAAAAGTGGTTATTGACCGTGGATCCCATCATTGTGCTTATTTACAGTATAGCAGTGTTTATAGGATAAAGGAAATAATGTAGGAAAATAATGCAGTAATTGTTATTATATCTTGTGTGTGCATTTATATGTCGATGATACTGTTTTCTATAAATAGACTGATAGATGGGTGGCTGGGTAGGTAGGTAGGTACTTTATTAATCCATAGGGAAATTCAGACATCCAGTAGCTCACACAACATATATAAAACCAATCCGATCAATCACTCATTTAAAGAAAAGCATCAAGTCATGGTTTATAATCATATGGGAAAGAATTTCACAACTCTGGTCATTTATTGCAGCATGTTTATTGCAACAAATGTTTTATCTTTCGCGTGGAGAATAACACGGTAAACAGAAGAAAAGCAAAGTCTTACTGGATGACGTTGCAGCTAAAGTTGAACTAGGTTCAGCTTTCTTGAATCACACTGTATGTAAATAACCACAAGCACAGATCAAAAGAGAAATTAAACAATTACTCATTGAGCAACAATTTCAGTCCCACACACATGCTGTTGGTAATCGGCACAAATAATTATCCAGGATTTTTGTCGGTTTGGACCATCATGTAAACCAGTCAGAGGATTCATTGACTTTATTTTGTGGTTGTTTTGTTATCATATTTAATCATCATTAGTAAAAACTAGAATTAACTACTTGTGGATGCACACCTCCACCAACCAGTCAAATTGCGTGACATATGGTCATAATCTCCCCTTCTGTTCCTGGGTTACAGCAGTAAATAATGGCCAGATGCAGAACATTACAATGTCACAATGAATTTGACCTTTGACCATTTGGATTTAAAATGTCATCTCTTCATCATTTTATCCTGTTAGACATTTGAGTTAAATTGTGTCATAATTAGCGTATCAAGTCTTTAGTCATGGCCAAAAATGTGGTTTGTGAGGTCACTGTGACCTTTGGTGATCAGTTAAACCTTGAGTCCAATTGAAGGTTTGTACCAAATTTGAAGAAATTCCATCAAGGCGTTCCTGAGATATCACGATCACGAGATTCGGACAAACCAGATATCATAATGCTTCCAGGCACAGCTGTCATCAGCATAAAAAGGGTAAATCAGTGAGTGCAGAAGCAAATCCTCAGTTAGTTGACTGATAAATTGTTAAATTGACAGGAAATTAATCCACAAAAATTTTGCTGAGTAATTATAAACTTCACAATTTGAATCTCTGCTTGTGTCATGTAGAAAAAAAAAAAAAAGAATAACACCCATCCACCCATTGAAGCAGATAAAACCACAAGATGCATGCCTACATGTAATGAACATTTAATTGCAGCCAGTGAACAGGTGCTCAGGAAAGTCACAGGGAAGATTCCATGGAAATGATCATTAGTTTCATATCTCCTGGTAAAGAGAGACAATTTAAGTCTGACTCATTTAAAAAGGTTCAATATGATACAAGCTACTCGTTTCACTCATGATAGTTGAATAACCTGAGTAAAAATTACCAGCCCCGTACTTAGTGGTACATTTTAAGACCCTTAGGGTCTGCACTGTTTAATAAGCCTCGTGATTCACACTAACAGATCCTGTGCTGACAGTAAATCAACTTGTGTGCTTCAGTTTTCTACAAGGTCACATTAAGGCTGAGCAGAAGTTAAGTCAACAAAATTGAACAAAAATGCATCACTAAAAACCACAAGAGATCATTCACTCAATCCAACGGTTAGATGACAAGAGATTGAGCAGGTTAGCACAGGCAGAAGGTCCTATCTGCCCAAATAGCAGAGACGCAACGTAATTTGTTGCTGCTCCATGTCAGGCCTTGATTCATTCTCCAGCTTCTTTAGCTCCAACTTTCAAAGTATGACTTGTAGTTGTGTCAGATTGAGGTCAGATTCTGTTGCCACCACAAACAAACTGCTTAAAAAGTTTGTGGTAAGATCAAGACTAGTTCCTCTAGCAGGACCTGAACTGTTATTATGGTCCACACCCGAATACGATTAAAGTATGATTTGTTTGCAGACCTCCTCAAGCGAATCGTACCAAGAAAGACAAGACAAACTGGAGTATGATTCAATGCAGGTTTGACTTTGCCCTACAAAAGACCACTTTGTTTGAGTTCAATTGTCCCTCCTGTCATCTTTATAATCTCACACTCAACAAAAAACAAAAGATCCATCACTGCTGCTGGTGCACCCTGAAGACAGGACCACCCTGTGAGAGCATTGGAGTTGCGCATAAAACTTTGAACTAAGTAGTCAGCCTACAGTCAGACATGTTTACTCATCCATTGCACAAAGATGTCGACTTTTTGCTGTCTGCCTGGGAACTGACAACATCCTCACTGCTGTATATTTCCAACAGGTTTTACGTTCTCTAAAAACTCTTTCCTGTCTCATGACTTATTGCATACCATTGTTAGCAAATCACAAATGATCCCTGTTTTCTCTCATTTCTGTTATTTGGTGCCACTGCCCCTTATTTCTGAGTTAACCTTGGGGTTGACTGCACATGGACTGTTGAGAGAGTCTGAACTGGTTTAAAAACCCACTCCTTCTGTGGCATGTACAGTCTTGTTATTTGGTACATGTAGCACGCGATATGTAGAGAGGAATTAGTCCGGGTACGGCAGTCAAGATATGTACAAATGATCATGATGGCAGAAGTGTAGGTGTTCATCACTGCTGGTAAATAAGATGGGATATCCTGGTGCGTCATATTCCCTTTAGTCTTCTGTGAATTACAAAGATACACAAAAAAGCCACCCTGTCCTCAAGGTACTGCAACAATGAGCTGTAATTAAATGTTAAGAGATATCTGCAGATTGCTGTTTCAGCTGCTACAGCTGTGTTAGCAATTTTTTCAGCTGTTGATCCACACATCATTTAATATCCAAGATAAGGCATCTAAAAGCTGAGGATAAGACAGCTTTGTGCAACTAAAGAACTTAAGATTGTCCATCTGAAATCTGACCATATAGCCAAAGTCTGTCATGATGAATCCAGGTTAAAGTTCAAGGTTAATATGGAAAATAGAAAAAGTTTTGACAAGTGATGGTAGGCAGAGTTTGTAGCCTGGCAAGCTGTTTCCAGCCTTGATGCTAAGCTATGCTAACAGGCATGAAAATGGCGTCGACCTTCTCCTCTAACTCTCGACCAGACAGAACACCCACACACCTGTTCCCACTTCACGTCAGCCCTGCAGTCACCTGACCTCTCACCACCTGCTCCTTGTTCCCCAGTCGACCCTGCACTATTCATATCAGCCATTTGCCCAACTTTGCGCAACCCATACTTGTAAATAATTTATTCATATTTGCTCAAAACTGGAGTCATCAGTTCCCAAAAGGGTAATAGTGAAAATGCAATGCATAGATAGTTAATGATCAATTGCTTCAAAGACAGAACTAATGTCCACACAATGATATCACCAGCAGCACAACCCTATCTCCTAAAATATCTATTTTTCTACAACTTAGTGGTTCTGCCATATATGTTTTGGAGATAATGTAACTGCTGCCTGGAGTGTGTTCACTTCCACCGCACTGGGCTTGTACAGCGGCACCTAGAAACCCTAGGATGGCGTTTGGGGTGAATGGTGAGCATACACCACATAGGACTTTTCCTGACCTCTGGTCAAGGTCAGAAAAAGTGTTTTGGGTTAACATTTAAGTAGATACGTCCTGCCTCGTTATTCAAGTCACTGTTAGCTTTTTTTCAATAATTAACCAAGGTTGTAATCTTTTATAACCTTAAAGCCCTCCACCACACTCATAAATGTGTTTAGTTTCACTTGGATGTTTGAGCTTCACTGTTGAGTTTGTTTTCACATTCATCTGTTGCATGCTCTAAATCTTTATCACCTGGACAACCAACTAGTTTGCAGCCAATCATGGTCTAATATGCAGCCTCCAGTGCACCTACACTGATAATGACCATATGGCAAAGAAGCCATCATGTGTCCTGTAGTTGAACCTTTAAAATAAAAAGTATTTGCAAATTCAGATTTTTCAGTGAGGCAGAGGGAGTAGAAGTAATTTCAAGAATTCTTAACTTCTCAAAACAACATCTGACACAAATTATTATTCAGAGTATTTTTTTATATGTGTCTTTAATCATGTCACTACTCAAGTGCTTTGAGTTGCCAGCATATAACCATAAAAAAAGTGAATGACATGTTAGTTGCTGCAAGCATAGAATATGTGCTGCCAGTTAAATTTAAACAGATATGTTGATTAAAGATATGGAAACACAAACTGAGGTCTGATTAGTGTCAGATGACAAGATTAGGATTTATGACGGTTTGTACAGTTCACACAGTAGTGAGAGCAAAAGGTCATGTTCTTTAGTGAGTAATAAACAAGACCAATAATATGAAGATTAGTGTCAGTTTGAGGAGAGGTCAGTGTTTAATGCTACTAGTATCAGAATATTTCAGCCTTTCCTCTGCAGTTTTACAGTTGTCAGGGAAATTTTACAGTTGACTCCACACCTTGTCCTTTTCCCTGTGGTTAAAAGAAGTCGTAAAAGAAGTATCTGTCAATACTCTTTTTACTCGAGTATTTCTAACGTATACTTTCCTCTTCTTTCCTTTTGGATCTTTCGTAAAAATGTCTATCAATAGTGGAAAACTGGACGACAGAGGAAAGAAAAAACTGGTCATCTTCTTTGTTTTAGGATGTTTTATAAAAATCTGAAAAAATGTCAGGAAAATGTCTGAACTGGTAATTGTGTGCTGCATCTGGTCTGTGCTGTGCAATATGACTGAAAATATAAGATCTGTTGCTATGAGGCTGAATTATTGGTCTGATGATCTAATGATTGCCTCCATAATTCTCAAGAAACTTAGACGAAACTACACTGTTATTTTAATTTTCATCATCTGCGGCAGCAGTGCTGAGGTGCTTAATAAATATTTATTTGACTTGATGGATCATTCAAGGAGGAATTGTCACAAGAGCCCCCTTTTAAACTTC